CCCTCAAGCCTCAAGCTTGTCACTGGCTCTCCACCCTCATCCTCCCCCAAGGGAGAGGGGACCCATGCCCCCTCGAACGGCCTTGTCCCTGTGCCTCTTGGTGCTCAGTTCATCTTCTGACAAATCGGGGGCCCAACCAGTGGTCTGTGAGCCCCCGCCCCGCCCCTGAGGTTCTGAAGTGCCCAAGGGCAGTCCTGCTGGTGGACGGCTGGGCTGGGCTGAGGCAGGAGGAGAGGCCGCTGGGGAACTGGCCCAGGGGGTGGGCAGCGAGGAGACTCAGGGGTGCTGCTGGAGCGAGGGAGTTCTTTTGTTTTTTGTTGTTTTTTTAAAATATATGTTTACTGATTTCAGAGAGGAAGGGCGAGGGGGACAGAGAGAGAAACATCAGTGATGAGAATCATGGATCCGCTGCCCCCTGCACGCCCCGCACTGGGGATGGAGCCCGCAACCCAGGCCTGTGCCTGGATCGGAAATCGAACCCTGACCTCCTGGTTCCTAGGTCAACGCTCACCCACTGAGCCACACTGGCCGGGCTGGAGCGAGGACGTTCTGTCTGTTATAAGCTCCCACAGTGCACCCAGCACCAGGCTAGGCACTTAACATGTTTTTAAATATATATGTACGGCCGCAACACCACGGCGAGGTGTTACGAAGCTAAGCTGACAAGTGAGGCACGCAGGCACAGAGAGGGTAAGCGGCTCGCTCCCGGCCACACAGCCAGCCGTGGGAGAGCTGGGCCCACGCCTGCTCTCGTTTTCCCGGCCACCGCCCTGGGAAGGCCCTGGCGTCCGAGCCCAAGAGCCATCTGGTCCCACCGAGAGCTGGAGGCTCCCACCGGGGGGGCGGGGACAGGCAGAAAGGCAGGTCCCAGGTATGCCCGCGTCCAGAGGGCAGAACCGGAATTTTGGGTTGGCGGAGGGGCGGGGCGCCGAGTGCTGAGGCAGCCGGTTGGGATGGGGCTGGGCCGCTGCCCTGCTATGCATCACTGTCCCTGGCCGCCCCACCCAGCCCGCCCAGAGAGACCAGAATGTCAGCTCAGGGAGAGTCCTGGCCTGTCGGAGGCCTGGTGCACTCCCTGGCCTCGCCCCATCGCCGGCCCAGCCCGGCCCAGCCTGGCCCGCCTTGGGCTCATCCAGGTCCCGGTGTCTGGGCCGGGCCCGACCTCTTTGCTCTCTCTCCGCCCGCTGCCAGCCTTGCCCATCGGCTCCCAGAGCAGAGCAGGCTGGTGCAAGTGGGCACGGGCCCCTCGAGTCCCAGCCCTCAGACACGGGGGGCCACAAGGTCATGAGCGCTGAGCTGCCAACCCAGGTGCCTGCCCAGAGCTTGGGGCAGGGCCTCCGTAGGCCACCCCTCCATTTCCTGTTCCCCATCCAGGGCTGGGAGCTGCTCTGTGGCCCTCCCGACCCTCCAGGCACCGTGGCCACAGCCCTGGCAACATAAGGTCCCAGCAGGCGTCAAGCTGGGAGTCTGGTCCATTCCTGCCCCAGTGCCTGGAGGGCAGCGAGGGTCAGAGGTTGCCATACATCCTTGGGAAGGTGACTTCCCTGATGGGCTCCCCGGAGGGGAGCAGGCCAGGGCAGGGGGCGAACGGATTCCGGCTTCCTGATGTGAATTCCCCGTAGGAAGTGAGAGGGCAGACTCCCCCTGCGCCCGGGGAGGCCCCAAGATAGGGGGGGGAGGGCCGTGCATTCCTGAGGGTGTCCCACCAACAGGAGACAGGACACAGGTCATCGGGGACACTGGCCTGCAGAAAAGCGAGGGCAGAACCAGGATGCCCCACTCGTCCGAATGACCTCGAGGAGCCGGCACCACGTCCGGTCGTGGGAGCCCAGCACATGCGGGCCTTTGTCAATCTGTCGAAGGAACCTCAGCGTCCACGTGGAGCAGACACGTCTGCAGAAACTGAACTCCGGCCTGGCCGGCGGGGCTCAGGGGCTGAGCGTCAACCTCTGAACCAGGAGGTCACGGTTCGATTCCCGGTCGGGGCACAGGCCCAGGTTGGCAGGCTCGATCCCCAGTGTGGGGCGTGCAGGAGGCAGAAGGCCCATGATTCTCTCTCATCATGGATGTTTCTCTCTCCTCTCCTTCCTCTCTGACATCAATAAGAATGTATAACCAAACGTCATACCTGGAAACAATTTTCAAGGAAACCCGCGTCAGCGTCCAGGGCCTGCGTGTGGCCTTTATAGCCGCACGGGCCGGTCCAGGCACCTCCTCCAGGGCCCTTCTGTAGAGACGTCGTTACCATGCGCTGCGGCCGGCATGTCAGGTTTCAGAGAGGCAGGGGGCGTGACACCATGCCCCTGGATTCTCACGTGCTGGCCTGTGGACTTTATAGTTCTCTGGGGCCCTTACGTAACCGTGAGCACAAGGCACTTTAGTGCCCGTTTTATGGGCCGTTTATAAGGGAGGCGGGGGCGTGGAGAGGAAGACGGTGGCCCAGGAGTCCCCAGGGCTGATGAGGCGGTAGCCACGTGCCAGCTGGCGACCCAAGGCGGGCCGGGCGGGTGGTGTCCGGGGCTCCGGGGACCCTGGGGGTCCAGGGCCGGCAGCCGCATCTCACATGCTGAGGTGATGCTGGAGGCTCCTGGGCCTTGGGCTTCTGTATCTGGGACGTCCCGTCGGTCACATCTCCGGTTTATTGGGCGCTGGGCTCTCGGCACCCGGCCCTCAATTAGGAAACTATTTCTATTGGACACTATAACGTGCTTTACGATGCTCTGCCCAGCACGTGGCTGCCGGGAATGCCTCCTGGGGAGACGCAGGGCTCCCCCCACGAACACCCACTTCCCGGGAGGCGAGCGCGTGACCGCACGTGGTCCCCGAGACGGCCCCTGGGGCTGCTCCCGCCTTCCTCTGCAGGTGACGAGGGGAACCTCAAAGGTCAGTGTGAACCCAGCCTGTGTGGCTCAGTGGACAGAGTGTTGGCCTGCGGACCGAAGGGTCCCAGGTTCGATTCCCGGTCAGGGCACCTGCCCGGGTTGCAGGCTCCATCCCCAGTAGGGGGCGTGCAGGAGGCAGCCGATCAATCATTCTCTCCCCTCATTGACGTTTCTCTTTCTCCGTCTCCCTTCCTCTCTGAAATCATTAAAAATATATTTAAAGAAATAAATAGCCCGGCGGGCGCGGCTCAGTGGTTGAGCGTCGACCTCTGAACCAGGAGTTCACAGTCTGATTCCCCATCGGGACACACGCCCCGGTTGTGGGCTCGATCCCCAGTGTGGGGCGTGCAGGAGGCAGCCGATCCATGATTCTCTCTCATCATGGATGTTTCTCTCTCTCTCTCCCTCTCCCTTCCTCTCTGACATCATTAAAAATATATTTAAAATCCTATATCGTAAAGAGCTAATATGCTAATTAGACCGAACAGCCGGGTGACCTTCGGACAAAGCTGGGGCTGCGAGGGCCGAGCCTTTGCACTAATTTCACGCCAGGGCCTCTAGTAAATAAACAAAAGGCGAGTGTGAGAGCTGTGAGCAGTGGCCACCAATGACAGCATGAGCCCGAAACCTCGGGAGCCGGCGGGCTGCACGATGCCACGGCTCGGACCGATGTCCGCAGGGAGAGTCCCGGGTCACCACGGAGTCCGGGCGACGCGCTCGGGGTCCTGTGCGTAAGGAGGCCAGGCCGGGCCTGAGGCCTTTTACGAAAATCTCCATCATCGTCGTTAAAAGAGGCCTCAGCTCCTGTCACCCACCCCGTCAGCTCACGGGGGCCCCCTGGGCCTGCGGGTGGTGCTCCAGAAGGAGTCTCACCACACGCGTGTCCCGGGTGTGAGCGTGGGAGAACCCGCACCAGAGCCCTGGCTTCAGGGGCCCATCCCGGGGGCGTGTTAGGGGCGCGGCCGACTGGGGTCGGGGTAGGGTTCACACTGGACTGCACTTACCTTAGCCGTCGGCCACTCAGAAGTATTTTTTAAAATATGTTTTCATCGATGTCAGAGAGGAAGGGAGAGGGAGAGAAACGTCAATGATGAGAGAGGATCATGGATCGGCTGCCTCCTGCGCGCCCCCCACTGGGGATGGAGTCCCAAACCCGGCCTGTGCCCTGCCTGACCGGGAATCGAACCCCGACCTCCTGGTTCACAGGTCGACGCTCAACCACTGAGCCACGCCAGCTGGTCAAAAAGTATTTATTTATTTTATTTTGGGCAATCCTCACCGGAGGACATTTTCCCATTGATTTTTAGGGAGAGAGGAAGAGAGAGGGAGAGACAGAGAGAAACACCGATATGAGAGACACACATGGATGGGTTGCCTCCTGCACGTGCCCTCCACCAGGGCCCTGGCCTGGGACCAACCTGCACCCAGGTCCGTGCCCTCGACCGGAATCGAACCCAGGACCCTTTGGTCTGCAGGCCGGCGCTCTATCCACCGAACCACACCAGCCAGGACAAAGCGTATTGTTTTCATCGAGCCCCTCCTGTGTGCCAGGCTCCACTTTTAGGGGCTGAGTCTGGCGCTTCCAACGGATCCACACGTGCTTTGCGGGGGCGGGTGGGTCCCCACGCGAGACAGGTGTCCCGTTTCAGGCCTCGTGCCCCACCCCACTCTCCGCGGGGAACGGCGTGTCTCACAGGAGCCCTTGGGACCGGGCACGCGCTTCTGCCTCCAGCCGGGAGCCCTCGCCCACCGGGGCCCCGCCCGGACCTGGGGCGGAGGCGGCTGGGCCGCGCGGGCCACGTCCAGGAGCCGCCAGACCATCTCCTTCCTCGAGGGAAGCCTCCCCGGCCCCGGGGCCCGAGCTGAGCACAGAGTTTCTCCCTGAGCGGGAGGAACGGGGCCGGGCCGACGAGGGGCGGCTCCCGGGAACTCACCCGCGCGTGGAGGGGGGCGGGGGAGAGGACGGGGCCCGGTCCCACACGCAGGAGCGCCCTGCCCCCCAGGAGCGCGCTCCGACGGCACAGGCTCGGCGGGCGGAGGGGGCGGTGCAGGCGGGGGCGGTATATCTGGCGGAGGGCGGGCCCGGCCAGAGCCCGGAGCTGCAGCAGCCGGGCGGAGGCGCCAGGAGCAGCCGGAGCAGCCGCGCGCACGCACCGCACCAAGTCTATGGGCCCCGGGAGCCGCTGAGCGCCCTCAGCCCTCCGCCGCCCCGCGCGCCTCCCGCCCGCACCTCGCGCCTCCCGCCTCCCGCCTCCCGCACGCCCGGCCCGGCCCGGCCCGCGCCCCCGCCGCCGCCATGAACCACTCGCCGCTCAAGACCGCGCTGGCCTACGAGTGCTTCCCCAACCAGGACCACTCGACGCTGGCGCTGCCCTCGGACCAGAAGATGAAGACGGGCACGTCGGGCAAGCAGCGCGTGCAGGAGCAGGTGATGATGACGGTCCGGCGGCAGAAGTCCAAGTCCTCGCAGTCGTCCACGCTGACCCACTCCAACCGAGGTACCGGCTCGTGCGCGCGCGCGCGCGGGGAAGGGGAAGGAGGGGGGGAGTGCGTGCGCCCCTGGCAGGAGGCCGTGACGGCGCGCACGGCCCCGGGGGCGCAGGGGGACCAGGGAGTGTGGCTGAGGCCGGGGCTAAGCCGGGTGCAAACCCAGAGCTCCCCGACCTGTCCCGACGACGGGGCGGTGGGGGGGGCGGGGAGCAGCGGCCCCCTCCTTCCGGGCCCCCGACGGCTTTCTCCCCCCCTCCCCCCGCAACCCTGCTCCTTTCCTGCCTCTGCTCCCCCAGGGGCTGCGGCCGCTGGGTTCTTCCTCACCGGGGGGCCCCCCATCCTTTTTGGGCGGCGCAGGAACGGGGCAACCAGCGCCCAGGCGGGTGGGATCCGGTCCAGGCGGGGCAGCGCGTGGATTCCAGGGAGCCAGGGTGTCGCCAGAACCGAATGGGGGACAGGAGAGGCGCTGCGGGGCGGGGACAGGTTCTTGTTGCCGCAACAGCAGTTCAGCGGGCACCCCCGCCCCCCACTGTGCTCCCTGGGGGCGGGGGGCCAGGCAGATCTGGGGACCAGAAGCGGGTCTGGGGACACCCTCTTCCCCTGGGAGCCAACGGGAACCCCCGTTTCCCACGATTCTCCCTACTGCCCTCAGCTCGGCTCATGGTGAAGAGGAGGGACCCAGGTTGGCAATTGGGGGTCCCCCTGGGCCCCTGGCTGAGCCCTCATGGGGGCGCGTGTCTGCTCAATCTGGGTGCTCGTTTGACCAGGCAGCCCTCCCCACCCCCAAAGTGCCCAGACTGGGTGAGGGGGAGAGGATAGGGGCCCCCGAAACTCAAGGAGGGAGATACAGTATCTGACGGGAGGGAAATACAGTATCTGAAGGCGCTTGTGGAGAAACTTCAGGCCAAATGCGTTCATACAAAGAATCACACACCAGTTCGTGAGCCTTTGGTTTTTTTAGTAAAAATTGAGTCCAATGGGAATAAAGACGAAAGACTGCAAACCAGGATGTGAGGACGGGGTCCAGGCCTCACGGGAGAGAGGGGGCTGGTGAACAAGGGCCGGGGGAGGGAAGAGACTACAACCCCTTCCCCCAGGTCACTGTCCACCGCTGGCTTCTGTCCTCTCTCACTGTCCTGTTGGAGGGAGAGAAGTGGCTGGCTGAGGGCCCCCCAGGACCCCAGATCCTCAGCCCCGGGCTGGGCCCCTGGCCCTTCTCCTGCGACCTCCACTCAAGGTCACGCGACCTCCAGATCCTCTGTCTCCTCCTTTAGTGGGTGCCCCGCTAGCTGCTCACTCGAAGGTTTGGGGTAACAAAGGCCCCATTTCTGGCCTCGGCCCAGTCACAGCTGCGGCCAATCTACTCCGGTCCCTGCACCTGTCCCCCTTCCCCTCTGGCCTCAGCTCCGGGCTCGCAGCCCCAAAAAACCCTCAAGGCAGCCCTGGTGCCCAAACCCTCCCCTTCCCACCATCACGGGGTCCCCCAGAGGCCTTCGGCCAGGGAGGGCTGACCCTGGTGGCTCATGGGTACCTCTCTATACACGGGGCTCCCGGGCCTGCCCCTGCAGGTGTGTCCCGGGCCCCCACCTGCGGCCAGGTTCCCACAGGGGCCAGGCCCAGGCTGCATCGGCACTGGCATCGGCTTCGGGGCTGGGAGAGGCGGTGAGGTCAGCCGAGCTGGTGCATCTGGTTGAGCGGCTTTGTTTCATCAGCTCCCTGTCTGCCCCGTCAGCTCCACCCCAGCCTCCCCTGCTCATCCCAGGCCGCTGGCTTCTCTCCCTCTTCCTCGAGCTCCTTTATATCCCGGGCACCCGCTCTGGTGCCTGGGAGGGGGGCTTGGCAGCTGTGAAGGGCCACACTCCCCCCAGGACATGTCCCAGGTCCCGCTGGACAGACTGGGACCCTGATTCTGTGTGATCCATGAGATTCTCCGGCCTGTGGGGCCCATCAGGGATCTCCTAGTGAAGAATTCGGGGGCCCCCCGCTCCTGGCACCCGGGAAGCATCTCAAGGGAACCCACAGTTCTCTCTGTCTTGTCCCTGGAGGGGAGCGCTGGGGAAGGAGCCTGGGCCCAAGGGCCTGTCCGTCAGGGCCTCCCAGAAACTCACCCCCGAGCCGCAGTGGGGGGGAGGGTCTAGGGCCTGGAGACCCCCCGGAAGGAGGCTGCTCAGAGCCTGTCAGCCTAGGGGGCTCTTCCCCTGAACTGGCCCAGAGTGTGGGGGACAGGGGATGTGGTGCCCGCAGGGATCTCGGCCGGAGCCCTGGCCTGCAGAGATGGGCTCTCCCTGCAGGGGTGCTGACCAGGGGCTGGTGGGGGGTTAAGGAGACACTGTCCACACAGGGGTTTTTGGTGGCTTTTGAAGCTTCCCCAGATCCCATCTGACCCGACCCCAAGCCCCGCTGCTGCTCCCCGGGGAGATGGGGGGGCCCTCACCCCGTAGCGCCATTCACCAGGCGTGTCTCCTGCTGCTGGGACAGCTGGGACTTTTACCTTCAGCCTCGGGCCTCCCTTCTCCCACCTCCAATGGCAGACCCGTCCCTCTCCCTGGGCAGATGGGGGTGGGGCGCAGACTGGGGGTGCCGTCTCCCTGTCCCTCACAGGGCACAGGGACTTGAGGCCTCCTGGGGGTAGGCTCGGGCTAGGCCCCCACTCCCCCAGGCCCAGGGGGGCCCCTCCCGGACCCCAGACCGTGCCCAGACATCCCGTGTGGGGCCGTGTTTTCGGGACCGAGGCTGGGGCGGGGGCTGGTAAGAGGCCCAGTTGTGCCTTAGCTTGCTCGGCGGCGAACCACTAATTAAACTTCAAATGAACCAATTTTGGCTTCTTTACCGCGAATCTTGGCTCGAAGCGGAGTTTGAACCAGAATTTCCGCCGGCCTGTCGCAACGCATGCAGCAACGCGGGCGTTCCAGGGGCTCACACGGCAACCGCCGCGGCCCTGGTTCGGCTCATTGGCGGAGAGTTTTTTATAAACACACACACACACACACACAATTCTCTCCGCACCCACAAAACTGTGAATCCCCACCCGCAGTCGTCCTAACTGTGCAACCTGGGACCCACTCCTGGGATGGGGCACGGCACCCAGAAGGTGTGTGACGGCCTCATGTGGCCTTATCTGTAGGTACATCACACGCACATGCACACACACGCATGCACATACACACACGCATGCACATGCACACACACACATGCACACGCACACATGGCATGTACAGGAGCCACGCTCCAAGGAGCCCTGGAGCCGCTGGGCAGTGGGCAGTGGGCAGTGGGCAGTGGGCAGTGGGCAGGGACTCTGCCACGGGGTTTGCCGTGCCCAGAGCTGGGCGGGGTCACCTCGGGGAGGTGCAGCGTTTGAAACGCGGGGAGAGCGCTGGGCTGGGAAGGAGAGAGACAGGGAGACGGCGCAGGTGGGGTGGGTGTGCCGCCTGGGGAGCTGGGGGTGAAGGATGAGTCACCTCGGCAGAAGCCCGCCTGTCCCCATGGGAGGACGAATCCATGTGCCCTAGCGAGGCAGGCAGCCGACGCACCCTGCAAGCTTCTGCAGGTGAGAAGGCCTGGCGGCTCCCAGGGTGCAGGGCTGGGCCTCCCCAGGGGCCGGTTTCCGATTGGCTGGGGCCAGGTGCAGGGTGTGGGCACAGCAGCTGATGCACTAGGGAGGCACCGCCCCCTGAGACACTTGCTGTTGGACCTGGGGTTCCGGGGGGCGAGGCCACCTGGGGATGGTGCACAGGTCCGGGGACAGCCAGGTTCCCCGAGGAGCGCCACCCTTTGCCAGGGGCGTGTCCACCCATCTGGAGAGACAGTGGGATGGGGAGGGTCACCTGGAAGGCGGGGTGACTCCCTGGCCACCCCTGGACCAGGAACCCCACCTCAAGGAGGCGACCGCGGCTCTAGAGCTGCGCTCAGCTGCTCTCTCTCTTCCTGGTTTCCCTGACCAGCCAGCAGGGGGCCTGGGGGCCTTCCCTGGGAGGGCTGGGCAGGGGCACCACCCTCACCATGCCCCGTACAGAGAAGACCATCGGCCCCGGGTGACGGGATCGGGGTGAGGTAGTCAAGGAGGGCTTCATGGAGGTGGTGAGCTCTAGAGAAGCTGGGGACCAGGCGGAGGGGTGAGAGCGGTCGCACCCGCCCCCTTAGTCTCATGGAGAAGCCCCATGTCCTGGCTGTTGAACTAACTTCGAGGCTAATACTTACCAGCCAGACCCCCCAATCCCCGCCCCTCCCCCCAGGCTCAGGAAGGGGAAAAGTCGCTTTCTGTTGTGCGAGCAGCTCTCGTGTGAACAGAGCTCGCCTCCCGCCTGCGCCCTCTGACCCCAAGGCCCACCGCCAGGCGTGAGCCCAGGTGCGCACGGCTCTGGCCTCCTCCCTCCCTCACAGCCTTGGGCCAGCGTGATGGCAGCCCCGTTCCCGCAGGGAAGGCGAGCCAAGCATCTACGGCGGGAGTCAGGTGTCTCCCCCCAAATCCATTTTTTAATATATTTTTATTGATTTCAGAGAGGAAGAGAGAGGGAGAGAGAAACACCAGTGATGAGAATCATGGATCGGCTGCCTCCTGCACGCCCCCCACTGGTTGGGGATGGGCATGTGCCCTGACCCTGAATCGAACCGTGACCTCTTGGTTCCTAGGTCGACCCTCAACGGCAGAGTCACGCCAGCTGGGCTGACCCCCAAATTCAGGAGCCCTGGGCCTTGGCCCGACCAGAAGTGAGAGTTACATGCCCACCCCTGTCACCCCTGGACAGGGGGGCTGGCATTCCAGGGCTGGCCTTGTCCCCCCCACTCGCACCCCCGCCTCCACGGCAGAGAACGCCCACCAGCCACAGGAGAACGCGAGAGGGAGGCGGCAGGCGCTGCTGCGAGGGAGGGATGCTCCCCGATGACCGAGGGGTGGTGACCTCACCGCTGACAGGTCTGTCTGGAGACGGGCGGAGGCCGTGGGAGCCTGCGCTCCCCGCGGGAGGCCTCCTGGGGCCCCGGGACTGTCTGTCACCACCCAGAGTTTCCATCTGGGAGCCGTTGGCTGACCCACGCCTGCCCTTTGGCGAGAACTGCCTGTGCGTAGGCAACAGCCAGGTGCACCGGGCCTGCCAAGCCGGGCAGGGAGTCAGGTGCGTGGACGGAGGGAGGCGATGGGACGGGCCGTGCGCCTGGCCCCCTGGCCGCCTGGCCGCAGCCCCTCCCAGGCCCCTCCTGACAGAGGCCTCCTTTATAGGGGGGGAGGGGCAGATTCTGGAGAAAGGGGGGCAGCAAGCCACCCCCACTCAGCAAGGAGCTCGCCGTGAGTCGGGGCCCCCAGGACGAGCCTGTGGACTCGGGGACAGGCGGCCCGGGGAGCCCGAGGCCAGCGGCCAGGAGGCTGTGGGTCGCGTAGGTGAGGGTGCCTCTTCCTTGTGCTGAACCCTGACCCTGGAGAGGAGAAGCCGGCGTCCCTGGAGGCCAGCGGGCACGTGTCACTGTAATCACCCCCTCGGGCCCCAGAGCCCTGTGGGCCTTGGGGTGCACAGAGGGCACCCCTTTTTATGGAGGAGGAAGCTGAGGCTCATTGCCCAAAGGCCGGAGCCCAACCAATGTGAAGGCCTCCCGGCTCCCGGGGCCGCGAATGGCCAATGGATCGGCTGTGATCGGGGAACGGGGTCAGGGGTCAGTGTCCTGGCCTCTGAGGTCGGGCGGGGGGCAGGAGGGCAGATGGCATTGCACAGAGGAGGTGGCACCAGGCAGGGACACTTGACACCTTTTTTAAAAATTTTTGTTTATTGATCTCAGAGAGGAAGGGAGGAGGAAAGAGAGAGAGAAACATCCATGATGAGAGAGGATCATGGATTGGCTGCCTCCTGCATGCCCCCCACTGGGGATCGAGCCCACAACCCGGGCCTGTGCCCTGACCAGGAATCAAACCCTGACCTCCTGGTTCATAGGTCGACGCTGAACCACTGAGCCACACTGGCCGGGCTACCTGCCACCCTCTAAGGCTGCTCCCCCTACTCTCACTCATGGTGCAATCCCCCCTCACCTCCCCAAGGCTTGGGAGTCTGAGTGGGGGTGGCAGGTGGGGTTGGGGCTCACGTACTGAGCCTCCAGCAAGCCCCGCCCCCTAGACAGAGCCTCGAGGCTGCTGCCAGCCAACCCCTGAGGAAGACGGGGGGCCACCCCCCTAGGAGGCTCTCAGAGGCCCCTGAGACCATCACTGGACTAGACGGGGGCCCAGTCTTGCTCTGGATGTCGGGGTCACGGGCGCCCCTCGCACGGCAGCGTTGGGAGCGGGACTCTGGGCGGGGTGCGACTTGGGCCCAGACGGCAGAGCGGGCAGAGGTGGCCGTGGTCAGTCAGGACAGGCCTCCTGGGGGAGGACACCTTGAACTTGGCTCTGAACTGGTGAGGCCGACGGTGGAGGCCGAGGAGAAACAGCAGACAAGGCATGGGAGCGGGGTCCCGGCCTGTCGCTGTGAGCCTGTCTCAAGGACCGTAGGGGCTGTCCTTCAGGCCCCCCCGGCCCCTGCCATCTGGTGAAGGGGCGAGGAGAGAAGGGGACCCCCCAGGAACCCCAACCCCACGCTGCTCCGCGATGCAAAGCCATCTGTCGCTAATGACACCGTCGCCCGAGAAGCCTGTCATTGTGGGGCTCGGGGCTCACAAAACAGTAATTAATCCTCACCCCCTTCTCTGGCCAGGGATGCAGGAAGGGGCGGGAGGTCCCCCGTGGGGCCAGGCGGAGGGCGGAGCCAGCGTCCTGCCCCCAGGTGGACTCCAACCTGCAGAGGCTGCTCTGCGGCCCTGACCTTGAGCTCCGGCCGGCATGTCCCTCTCCCGCGGGTCCTCCCCGAGCCAGAGGCTCATCCTTCTGGGACGCGGGGTCCTGATCCCCTGGAATGGGACGGCGCTGCTCCAGGGCCCCCCGGGACAGTTGTTGGCCTGTAGGTGTCAGCCGACGCCACCGGAGAGCCCCAGGGGCCCCAGGAGTGGGTCGCCCGAGACTCTCTGTCCCAGCTGCTGTCTGCAGGCCCTGGAGGGGGAGGAAGAGGAGGAGGAGGAGGAGGGGGAGGAGGGGGACAGCACAGGCCCCTCTGGTCCCTGCCTCTCACGCAAGGTTCAGACCTGGCCCCCTCGAGGGGCATCTGGCCCTGGATGGAGGCGATGCCCGACAAGGAGGGTGGGGAGGAGCCTGGCCAGCCACACGATCCTAACCCCTGCCTTCCCTCAGGTTCCATGTATGACGGCCTGGCTGACAATTACAACTACGGCACCGCCAACCGAAGCTACTACTCCAAGCTGCAGGCGGGCAGCGGCTCATGGGGCTACCCGGTAAGGAGCTCAGGGGCGCCGAGTGTCTGCGGGGGGGGGGGGGGTCTAGGGTGCAGGAAACCGCACGGATGCAGAGGGGGGACCCCCAGCTCTGAGCAGGGCCCTTGACGCATCTCCTATCTGGGCTGAGGGGATGTTTCTGAGTGCAATTCTTCAAAAGCATCAAGAAAATATCTTTATTTTTTAAAATCCTCACCCACGGATATTTTTCCATTGGTTTTTGTCAGAGTGGAAGGGAAGGAGGGAGGGAAGGAGGGAGGGAGAGAGAGAAACGTGGATGTGAGAGAGACACAGGGATGGGCTGCCTCCTGCACAGACCCCCAACCGGGGCTGGGGATCGAACCTGCAACCCAGGTACATGCCCTTGACCGGGAATCGAACCCGTGACCACTTCGGTACAGAGGCCGGCGCTCTGACCACCGAGCCACACCAGCCACGGCCGCAGGGGGCTCTTCATCCCCCCCTTGTCTGGGCTCCTTGGATATTTCTGAATGTCTCCAAGGAGAAACCTTCTTTAAAAGCGTCTGCCAAAGGTCACTTTTTCGAGTCCGCTTGGCAGCGTCTGATTGGGTCGCACGGCGGATGTGAGCTCTCTGGGGTCCGCTTGTGGTTGGAGCGAGACCTAAGGTTTTGTTGTTGCTCAGTTGACGCGGGTAGAGATGATTGAGACCCTGTCCCCCCAGCCCCTTGCCGTCTTCCCAGGTGACCCCCAGGACGTCTCCCGGCCCCATTTCTATGGCTTCCGTTGATGTCGATTTCAACAAGTCTGTACTGTTGTTGGAAAACTCCTTTTCGAGGTCCTCGAAGCATCGTGCGGGCGGGAGTGGAGGCTGATTTCCGTGGGGGCCTGGGCCCCGTCTGCGAGGGGCTCGTGGCTCAGTGACGTCACCCCCTGGTTGCCGGGTCCTGGGCAGGAGAGACGGCGGGGGTGGGGGTGTTTATGAGCCAGGAGTCCTCTTGTCAGCGTGATCCTTCCTTCCGAGCTTCTCGTTGGGGCTCATTTAGGAGGCCTGGTGTTTGGTGTGTGTTTGTTTGTTTGTTTTTGCTGAGGGACTGAAGGGAACACAACCAGGATCTGCTGCAAACCCAGGTCCCTCCGTCCCTTTTTTCTGATTCTTAATGTCAGTTGATACCCTGGGCGCAGCGTGAGTCCAGGGGACAGACCCTAAGGGGGCGGCGGGGCAGGCCCAGGTGTGAATCCAGAGCTTTGACACAGAGCGGCGACCAGCCAGACAGGTGGGGTCGGCGAGAGCCAGGAGGGCGGGGCGCTGGGTGGGACCCGCAGGCAGGCGAGGGGAACAATCTCTCGGATGCTGACGATGCAGGTGGTACCGGGAGGCTCGGCCCTGCTGGGAGACTCCAGATAAACCGCCCGACGCCTCTGGGTGCTGCCCTCCCATCTGGGAAAGGGGGGCGGGGCCACCGGGGAGCCAACGTCACTCACAGGTTGATACATTGTTGCAGCAGCGCTGCGTGTAGCCGACTTGGTTACAAGCAGGAAACTTTGTAACCAGGCGCCGTGGGCATCGCCCTTGGCCCACCGTGAGCATTGGCTCCAGCTCAGCGGCTCCCAATGCACCCCCCCTTCCCCCCGTGTTCTGACCACCAGGGAAAATCCCTTCTCTTTCCCGCACCCCAAGGCCCACCCTCCTGCCCCTCCCTCCTGGCAGGGCCTCAGACATGACTCACGCCAGGGCACCTGCCGGGGCACGTCCTGTCTCCTCTCAGCTCTGCGGAGGCTCTGGGAACGGCAGGGAGCTGCGTGCACACGGGGCTTTGGCCAGGGAGGGCCGAGGAGGAGGAGGAAACGGAATCATGCCTATTGGAGCCAGGCCCGCCGGCAGATGAGCGAGGGCTGGGCAAGGGGGGGCGGGGGGAGCAGCAGGGAGAAGGAGAGCAGGGGGAAAGGTAACAGAGGTTGGGGCCCAGCGGGTCCCCTGCCTGGGGACCTCCCGGCCGAGATCGGACACACACAGGAGCCGTGGGACCCCCCTCCCACGCCTCAGTGGGAGGGAGAGAGGCAGGCCTCCCTCCCCTTCTCTTTGCAGAGAGCCAGTGTGGCCCCATCCAGCAACCACCTGACTTAGCACCATCCCGCCCCCACCGGCTGACCCCCTCCCGGCTCACCCCCCTCAGCTCCGAACGCCCTTGCCAGATGTGCCAGTGGCTCCTCGGGCCACGCCTGGCGGGCCTCTGCCTGCTCCGGGGGCCCAGGGGAGGAAATTGAGGGGCCACAGCTCCCTCCTCCCCCTACACCCCCCCCCCCCCCCGCAGGCCTGGCTCCGGCTCCCAGAGCGAGCGAGGGAACGGTGGGTGTGTGTGCCAACTCCGTGTCCCCGTGCCAGCCGTGACTCACTGCCACCCGCCCCGGGAGATAGGAGGGTCCCAGGGGGGCCCCAGGCGCTCCCCCAACAAGAACAGACGGCATCGCACTTGCCGAGGGACAGGACGTGCCTGAGAGCGAGGAGTCGGGAGCTGCAGGGACGGGCCGAGCCCAGGCCCCGCACCCACCCCACCCACCCACCCCCACCCCCACCCAGAAAGCACAGCCGGCTCCCAGCCTGTCCTCACAGACACCTGGCTGAGCCCGGGACACTCCCTGTATTTAAACTGTGGCAGAAGCCAGCGGCAGGCGCCTCTGTCTGGGGTGCCCCCCAGGGATGAGCCCCCTCCGTAAGCTCCTGCCCATCGGGGTGGTCGGCCTCCGGGGCAGAAGCGCCTGCTGCCCAGGGCCCGGCTGCGTGGGAGGGGCTCCCGTTCGTGCTGATTTCCCGCGTCTCAGAGGCCTGAGGTCCCTCCTCCAGGCCGAGGGGTGGGTGAGGCCTGGGCTCAGACCAGCTCCTGGCGGTCCTGACATCCCATAGCCTGTGTTCTTGCTCAGAGAAGTCGGAGAATACAGCCCCAGCCGGTGTGGCTCAGTGGGTAGAGCGTCAGCCTGCAGACCGAAGGGTCCCGGGTTCGATTCCGGTCCAGGGCACGTACCTGGGTTGCAGGCTCCTCCCCGGCCTGGGCCCTGGTCGGGGCGCGTGCAGGAGGCCACCCATCAATGTGTTTCTCTCACATCGATGTTTCTCTCTGTCTCTCCCTCTCTCTTCCACTCTCCCTAAAAATCAATGGGAAAATATCCTGGGGTGAGGATTCACAGATAACAAAATAGGAAACAAATGGTGGTGGGACCAGATGACCCCCGAGCCTTGCCCCGCCCCAGCTCAGCGCCAGGCCCACCCTGCTCCTGGCCACAGGGGAGTCTGCCCAGGAGGAGACAGGGACCGGCACCCCCACACCCCACCCCTCACCCCACCCCCAACGCCAAAGTCCCACCTTTGGTGACTCAGGCCGTGGCTCCCACGCTCCCTCCCTCTGCTGAGCCAGCAGGCTCCCTGCCCCCCTCCCCCCCAACCCCAGCGCCCAGCCCTGGGCCTCGAGTGCCCCCTCCCAGCAGCCTTTGCTGAGAAAGGGCCTGTGCTGTCCAGACCCCTGGCGAGGGTGGGGCAGAGCTGCCTGCCACCTGCCCGGTCCCCCTGCCACCGCTGACTGCCCAGCCCTGACCCCAATCCCAGGAGGGTCCACGAGGCGCTGAGGGGGTCAGCGGACAGTAGATCCCGCCCCCGGGCGCTCCCAGGCCAGACCCCCCTCTCGCGAGAGCCCTCCCCGGGCCTGAGGGGCACGAGGCCGCCTGGCACTGCGTGGCACCCTGTGCAGGGCTCCCTGGGAAGGGTGATGGAGGTGGCCTGCCGGGCGCTGCTGGGTGTGCCGGCCGGGAGGAGCAGGGCGCGCCCCGGAGAGCCGGTCGGGCCGGCCTCACCTGGCTGGTTTCACACGGGCTCATGGCCGGGACCAAGGCCTTTTCATCCCGGCCGGCCCAGCACGTCCCTGGCTCCCAAGGGGCCGGGCAGCTTCGGCCTGGTCAGCCACGGCCCCCCAGCTGCTGCCGCCCGGGCAAGGGCACGGGAGGCTCATGGACCCCGACAGCTGGCCCCAGGCTGGGCCCCCCACCGCCTGGCTTGTCCCCAGAGAGAACACCCCACCCCACCCCAGCAGCTCCTGGAGCAGCCCGAAGCACCTTGGTGCCTACAGTGGCCCTGGGCACCCCGTGCCAACCCCCAGCCGAGTCTCCACCTGGCACAGATGCCCTCACATCGATGTTTCTCTCTGTCTTTCCCTCTCTCTCCCACACTCTCTAAATTCAGTGGGAGAACATCCTCGGGAAGGAAGGAAGGAATGCAGGCTGGGAGCGGAGGGCGGCAGGATGGGGGGCCGTCTGAGCAGAAGCGGGGCTCCTGGGCCGGGGGCTGGGAGGGGCGCGGCCAGGCATGTGTGGTGTCCGCGGCAGAGACACTGCGGGCTCCCGGGCAGACTCCGGCTAGTGACGCTTAGTCTGAGGGAGGTCAAGGTTGGCTCCCCCCGGCAGGCGCCAGGCCTGCAGACAGGGCAGGGCTGCGGAGGCCCCGGATCTGGGCCTGGGCCGTGGAGACCCATGAGCCGGGCTCAGCCTGGGCACGGGAGTGGAAAGGGGGCGTCGGAAGATCCCCAGATGGGGGGACACGAGAAGCCGCCCCTTCCCTCCCGCCCGGGGGGTCCCTGTCCCGGCCGATGGCCTCGGGTGCTGATTGGGGGCCTCAGACGGGAGGGCAGGGGGGCTGTGCTCAGCCCTGTGAGGCCCCGGGCTGACGCGAGCCCTGCTTGGCTTCGGTCTGGTCACCCCGTAGAACTGTCCCCTCACCCACAAAACAGTGGGGGTGGGGGGAGCTCTGGGAGGGAAAGGAAAGGAGGGAAAGGAAGCCAGGCTGGCCAATGTGGCTCAGTGGCTGAGCATCGACCTATGAGCCAGGAGGTCAGGGTTCCATTCTCCATCAGGGCACGTGCCCGGGTTGTGGGCTCGATCCCCCGGGGGGGGGGGGGGCATGCAGGAGGCGGCCGATCCATGATCCTCTCTCATCACTGACGTTTCTGTGTCTGTCTCCCTCTCCCTTCCTCTCTGACATCAATAACATTATATGTTTTTTAAAAAGAAAGAAAGAAGGAAAAGGAAGAGAGACGTGGGCTGGGGAGCTCCCGGGGGGGGGGGGGAGGTAAGGGCGGGAGGAGGGCGGAAGCTGGGTGAGCCCCAGCGCCCCGTCATTAGCAGAAAAGGGGGCAGCACGGGGCCTGGGGCGGGAGAGACCCTGGGCTCCCCCTTGGAGGGCAGGCAAGGTGTCGCCTCCCCAAGAGCCCCATGGTCTCCCGAGGGGGGGGGGGGGCGGGAGGTACACCTCCCAGGCGCCCCCTGCTGTCCAGCCCAGTCCTCTCTGTGATGGAGGGGTCGGCTGCACCCCCAGGAAGTCAGGTTCTTGCCTTTGGAATGTTCTATGACCATCGCAGCTGCGGCTGGAGGCTCCCAGGGAGGCCGGAGAGACCCAGACAAGGGGGTGTGTATTCAGAAGAGGCTTGGCCAGCAGATCGCTATCTGTGTGTGTGTGTGGGGGGGGGTGCCTGGGAGCCAGCTCTCCTATCTGCTGGGCCAGGTGTGCATTCCCGCCGATGGGAATGGAGGGGGCATCCTCGTCGTCGCGGTGACTGGGAGGCACTCCTGGCCTTCGGGGCCCCGGGGCTGCCAGGCTCCGGTCCCTGCACAGAGGAGGATTGTCCTCCCGGGATGCCAGCCGCGCCCACGCCGTTCCTCCGGGTGCCAGCTGGCTGGACCACGTGCCTCTACTTTTATGCAACTACGAGGCCTTACCTGTGGCCCTGGGGGGAAGCCCCCAGTGCGGACCCCTCGCCCGGGCTGTCCTGGCATCCGGGTTCACCCCCCTCTTGTGCCCACCTGGCAGCCCCTCTGGGGGGGCGGGGCTTTGGCTGTCAAACCTTCAGCCGGGTCCTGGGGGCGGCCGGCCTGTCCCCATTGTGGGCGTCAGCGGGACACGGATGTGCACCGCCCTACGTGCTCCACGGACATTCGCTCGCTGGGTCCTCCGGGGGCACAGCGATTGTCCCACCAGCTTTACAGACGGGGAAACTGAGGCTCCTGGGTGTCAGTGACTGGCTGGAGGCTGCCCACCGGGCCAGGGGCCCAGAAAGTGCGGCTCCAGAGCCTCCCCACTGCCCGTGTCTCGGCCCAGTGAGCCCGAGGGCTGTGCCTGGAGCCCGCGGTGCCGGTGCCATGTGACTCAGATAGAAAAGGGAGAACGGCCTGGCCAGCGTGGCTCGGGGGTTGAGGGCCGACCTATGAACCAGGAGGTCACGGTTCGATTCCCGGGTTTCGGGCTCCGTCACCAGTAGGGGGCGGGCAGGAGGCAGTTGATTGATGTTTCTCTCCCTCTCTCCCCCTTCCTCTCTGAAATCATTAAAAATTATGTTTTTAAGAGAGAGAGAGGGGGTGGGGGGGAAGGAGAGCAGTCACAGGTGCTAGCTGGGACACAGGCCGTCTGTACAGGGAGGGCTGGGCCACCCCAGACAGTACCGCCCACCTGCCCCAGGCACAGGGGAGCTGGGTGGGGTTCCCAGAAATGGGCGAGGCTGCTGGAATGTGGCTGGTGGGAGGCTGGGAGTGCAGTCCACAGGTATCCCCCCGGCCCCCTGGGGACCCACCAGGACCCCTCCCCATGGCCTGGCTGCCCCTGCTCCTCCCCAGCCGGGGAAGCTGAGGCCCAGAGCCCCTTTGTGAGGCTCCCCCCGCGGGGTCCCAGGGGCGCTGGGTCTGCACCAGGATGAGCGCCTGGGCCCTCGTCAGGTGACAGATGACGGCGGGCGTGTCCTGTGGGGAGAACAAGGCGCTCCTGTCCCTTTTCCATCTAAGGCTGGGGCTTGGGAGTCACTGGCTTTCCCTGGGAGAGTGGGGGCGAGGGGGCGGGGCCTAACTGCATACTTGGCACGTTATCCTCAAGGTGTGCAGTCCGGCCATCTGGCGCTCACCACGCTGCCCCCTCCCCAGCCCCCTGCCCCCTGCCCGTCCCTGCTCACTTCCCTCCCAACCCCCGCACCCCAGCTCCCCCAGGGCAGGAGGGTTGGACCCAGTGTGGGGAGAAGCCCGCCCCTGCCCGGGCGCACAGCTGGGTGCGTGGGTGGCGTTGGCGAGCGCCATGGCCCAGGCCCAGATGGCGGTGGCACCGTGGGCTCCAGGCACATCCCGCAGGCTCCAGGGCTGAGACCTGGGCAGTGGGGGAGAGGGGAGGTCTCTGGACCAGTGGGCAGCCTGGGCGTGTGTCCTGACGGGGAATCAAACCCCGACCTCCTGGTTCAGAGGTCGGCGCTCAACCGCTGAGCCACCCCGGCCGGACTGGAGTCTGCTCTTTAAAATGATGGTCACCGCCTCTAAACTGGTTTCATCACCCATAATGGGCGGCAGCCTCGAGTCTGAGAAATAATATGTCGGACGCCGGGTCAGGCTCCTGGGCCTCACACCTTGTGGGGCTCCGTGAGCATCGCTTGGGGCCGGGGGACCCTGCCCTGAGCCGCCCCCCTCTCTCGGCCAGCTCTACAATGGGACCCTCAAGCGGGAAGCCGACAACCGGCGCTTCAGCTCCTACAGCCAGATGGAGAACTGGGGCCGCCACTACCCCCGGGGCGCCTGCCACACGGGCGCGGGCAGCGACATCTGCTTCCTGCAGAAGATCAAGGCCAGCCGCAGCGAGCCCGACCTCTACTGCGACCCGCGGGGCACCCTGCGCAAGGGCACGCTGGGCGCCAAGGGCCACAAGACGGCCCAGAGCCGCTACAGCTTCTACAGCACCTGCAGCGGCCAGAAGCCCGCCAAGAAGTGCCCGGTGCGCCCGCCCTCCTGCGCCTCCAAGCAGGACCCGGTGTGCGTCCCGCCCATCTCCTGCAACAAGGACATGTCCTTCGGCCACTCGCGGGCCAGCTCCAAGTGAGTGCGGCTGGGCGGGGGCGGGGCCTGGGCGGGGGGCGGGGCCTGTGCCAGAGAGGGGGCGGGGCCTGTGCCAGAGAGGAGAGGGATGGAGATGGGGATGGGGCCTTGGCGGGGGGCGGGGCCTGGGCTGGGGGCGGGGCCTGTGCCAGAGAGGAGCAGATGGGGGGATGGGGTGGGGACTTCGCTGGGGCTGTGAGGGGCGTGGTCTGAGCTGGTGAGGGTGGTGTCTGGGTGGTGGGCGGGGCTTTGGTGGGGCGTGGTCTGCGCTGGGAAGGGAAGGGGCTAGGGTGGGACAGGATGGTGGTCATCCCCTGGCCCCTCAGGGATGCTCACGGAGCCTTCCCCAGGGTGAGCCTTCTCCCTCCCCTGGAGGAGCTGTTGCACAGAGGTGTCCCCAGGTGGGCTTGTCCCCAGGTCGGCCTTGTCCCCAGGTGGGCTTGTCCCCAGCTGGGCCTTGTCCCCAGGTGGGCCTTGTCCCCAGGTGGGCTTGTCCCCAGGTGGGCTTGTCCTCAGGTGGGCCTTGTCCCCAGGTGGGCCTTGTCCCCAGGTGGGCTTGTCCCCAGGTGGGCCTTGTCCCCAGGTGGGCTTGTCCCCAGCTGGGCCTTGTCCCCAGGTGGGCCTTGTCCCCAGGTGGGGTTGTCCCCAGGTGGGCTTGTCCCCAGGTGGGCCTTGTCCCCAGGTGGGGCTTGTCCCCAGCTGGGCCTTGCCCTCGCTCTCTCCAGGGCAGGTGTAGCTGTGCCAGCTTGGGTGTGCAAAGATGACATCCCAACCCCTGCCCCAGGGCCCCTGTAACCCACCCCCGCGGCCACTCCCCACAGGATCTGCAGTGAGGACATCGAGTGCAGCGGGCTGACCATCCCCAAGGCCGTGCAGTACCTGTGCTCCCAGGATGAGAAGTACCAGGCCATCGGGGCCTACTACATCCAGCACACCTGCTTCCAGGATGAGTCGGCCAAGCAGCAGGTACCTGGCTGCACACCATGGGCCCCCCCCCCCCCCGCCCCAGCCCCACTCCCACCGTTGGTCTGGGCAGGGCCTGGCTGGCATCCGTCTGAGCCTGCATTTACAGATGGGGGGCGGGGGGCATGGTCAGCTCCCTCCCACTCTGCCCAGCTGCCTGGGGCGAGCAGTGTGCTTGGCATTGCCCAAGGTCAGAGCTTGGGCAACTTGACCTTCTGCGCAGAGCAAAGCCCTTGGGTTGCATGGACCTTTCCCATCTGGTCTTCACCACCGAACCCCAGGGGAGGAAATGGGGCTCAGGCAGGAGGGGGCTCCCCTGAGTGTGTCTGCCAGGAGGTGGGGGCGTCAGGATCTGAGTCCCCGTCTTTTTTTTTTTTAATATATTTTTATTGATTTCAGAGAGGAAGGGAGAGGGAGAGAGAGATAGAAACACCAATGACGAGAGAGAACCATGGATCGGCTGCCTCCCGCACGCCCCCCACTAAGGATCAAGCCTGCAACCCGGGCCTGTGCCCTGACCGGGAATCGAACCCTGACCTCCTGGTTCCTAGGTCGATGCTCAACCCCTGAGCCACACCGGCTGGGCTCAGTCCCCGTCTTGGCTCCTGGTCTGGCCCGTTCCCATTGGGCCGCACCGCGCGTTCACGGGGGCTGGCGTGAAGGTCTCCGAAGGGAAGGTAGGGCCTGTGGTCTGAGCCGCCTCCCTGTCCCCCAGGTCTATCAGCTGAGCGGCATCAGCAAGCTGGTGGACCTCCTCCGCAGCCCCAACCAGAACGTGCAGCAGGCCGCGGCCGGGGCCCTGCGCAACCTGGTGTTCCGGAGCGCCACCAACAAGCTGGAGACCCGCAGGCAGGGCGGGATCCGGGAGGCCGTCAGCCTCCTGAGGACCACCCGGAGCACGGAGATCCAGAAACAGCTGACGGGTAGGCAGCCCGGCCACGGGGGTGGAGGGCAGGGCGGCTGGGCGGGTCGTCCCCCTGGGCGGGGCCACCCACAGGTGCAGGCTGCTGTCCTGGGCACCCTTGGCACCAGCTGTGGCCAGGCTCCTGGGGGCCAGATGGTGACCCTGGGCATGGTGCATGCTCGCGGGGGTCCAGGCCTTCGGAGGATCATGGGCAAGGGGTGGAAGGTCGCTGCCCAGGCAGGACCCCCCTCCAGCAGACCTGGGGGTTTCTAGGCGACAGGGTCAGGGGCCAATAGGTCTCCAACATCTCATCTCCCCCGTGTCCAAAAATACGTGCTGACACGGAGGGCCGGGCCCAGAAACCCGTCACTACGCAGCCTCGATTGGACGGGGAATGTGAGACCGTGTGGGACAGGGATGCGTCTTCCTGGAATGATTCTCGGGTAGAAAACAGAGACCAGTGGGAGACTCTGAGTGTTATGATTCCGATTGAAAACCACCCATCAATGGTTTTTCTTGTTGTTGTTTTAAACATTTTTATTGATTTCTGAGAGGAAGGGAGACGGAGCCAGAGAGAGAAACATCAATGATGAGAGAGAATCATCACTCGACTGCCTCCTGCACGCCCCCACACTGGGGACTGAGTCAGCAACTCGGGCCTGTGCCCCGACCGGGAATCGAACCCTGAGCTCCCGGCTCATAGGTCGACGCTCAACCACGGAGCCACGCCGGCCGGCTGATCCGTGGGTTTGGATCACCGTCCCTGTGCGTTAATTTTGAGCTACACAGAAAGCTCGGGAAACTATGGGACCAGAGATTCGATCGACCAGGTCTAGCTGCACGGGACAGTCCAGTAGGCTCGTTGGCCAGAACGGGCTGAGGGGGCCCCCCTGAGCCGGCATGTGACGGGGCCACTGTCCCCACCCCCAGGGCTGCTCTGGAACCTGTCCTCCACGGACGAGCTGAAGGAGGAGCTGATCTCGGACGCCCTGCCCGTGCTGGCCGACCGCGTCATCATCCCCTTCTCCGGCTGGGGCGATGGCAACAGCAACCTGTCCCGGGAGCTGGTGGACCCTGAGGTCTTCTTCAACGCCACCGGCTGCCTGAGGTGAGAGCAGAGGGCGTCTGCCCGCCCACCTGGGGCCCTGGGGTCCAGCCGCACACCCTGCTCCCCTCCCTCCCCCAGGCAGCTCCAGCTCAGCCAAGACTCACTGGGCCAGGGCACAGCCGCACCACCCCTGGCCCCGGGTGCCTCCCCACCTCCCCACTTTCCTCGCGTTCTCTGAGGGACCCCGGCCGACAAGGGCAGGCATCTCAGAGCGGGAACACTGGGTCTGCCCATCCAAACGGGCCCTCCCTCCTCGGCCCCTGGAAAAATGCGTCTCTTGTCCCATCTTGAAGAGCCTTCTTTTAGACAAAAGTCTATCCCGGCTGCTCATGAGTCACCTCCGGGCTGCGGGCAAAAACCCTCCCCGACGTTCATCATTGGCATGAAGTTGGCGCTTCTTGGCCTCCGTGGGGTGTGGCGAGGCCCCTCGGGGCGCTGGGGGGCGGGGCCTCACTTCCCCACAGCTTTAGGAGCTGGGAGTGGGTGCCAGGCGGGGCGGGCGGGCGTGGTGGAGCGGATTCCTTAAGGGGGTCACACCTGCTCCCAGGGGGTTGTCTCCCCCAAGCCCTGGGGGCCCTCACAGGCTGGGGTGCCGTTGGCAAGGGGCTCTGGGTCTCAGCTCCCCCCGGCCCCCCAGCCAGCCGCCTGGGAGCAGAGGCTAGAGATGAAAGACCAGGCCCAGGCTGCGGGGAGGGACCTCTGGCTCCCTCCCCAGATGAGCACCGGCCCCCCAGCGCCCCCAGAAAGAGACGGGCAGGCAGGCAGGGCTCCACCCAGCCCCTGGTCCACCGGTGCCCGGGGCCACAAGAGCCACGGACACGCAGGACCGTCGGGCTGGTGGACTCCGTGGGCGGACAGAGAGGTGGAAAGGGCCTCGCCGCCAGAGCCGGCCCCTCGGCTTCTCCTTCCCCCCTCCCTCCTCCCTCCGCTCCCCTGTCCTCTCTGGGCGCCCCCGACCAAGCCTCCTGCAGGCGCCCACCACCCCCTCTCCGTCCCTCAGGAACCTCAGCTCGGCCGACGCGGGCCGGCAGACCATGCGCAACTACGCGGGGCTCATCGACGCCCTCATGGCCTACGTCCAGAACTGCGTGGCCGCCAGCCGCTGCGACGACAAGGTGAGGGCTCAGCCCCGGGGGCACCACCATCAGAAGGGACAGCAGGGCCTGCGGACAGAACCTGTGCTGGGCTGCTCAGCCTGGTCCCAGTGGGCATCTTGCTTTTTTATCTATCTATCTATTTATCTATCTATCATCTAACTATCTAAATACCTATCTATCTATCTATCTATCTATCTATATCTATACCTATCTGTCTACCTACCTATCTATCTATATTTTTTTTATTGATTTCAAAGAGGAAGGGAGAGAGAGAGAGAGAGAGAGAGAGAAACATCCATGATGACAGAGAATCATGGATCGGCTGCCTCCTGCACGCCCCCTACTGGTTGGGGATGGGGCCCACAACCCAGGCGTGTGCCCTGACCGGGAAACAAACCAGTGACCTCCTGGTTCATGGATTGACCGGGCTCAGTGGCTTTTGAACCTACAGATGCCAGGACAGCTCCCGTACCCTTCTGACCCCGGGCACGTTGGCCAGAGCAGGAGACACACGCCTCTGTCTGCTGCCCTACTAGGTGCTGGGCCCCTGGACAGGCACCTCCCACGTGCAACCTTCCCATTAGCCCAGAGCAGGTGACTTCAGCCCCATTTTACAGCCGGGGAGACTGAGGCTCCCAGAGCCAGTCTGAGCAGCCAGAAGGGGAGACAGGCAGCAACCCCCTTGGGCCTCGAGCCCGGGCAGCACCCACCGCGGCTCAGGCCCACGCTCTCTCACCCCCAGTCCGTGGAGAACTGCATGTGTGTCCTCCACAACCTCTCGTACCGCCTGGACGCCGAGGTGCCCACCCGCTACCGCCAGCTGGAGTACAACGCCCGCAACGCCTACACCGAGAAGTCCTCCACCGGCTGCTTCAGCAACAAGAGCGACAAGATGATGGTGAGGGGCCCGGGCCTCTCCCGCCACCCCACCTCCACCCCCAGGCCCGGCCTCCCGCCCTCTCTGCCCACGGGAGCCTGCCACCCTCCGGGAGCTGGGCAGGGGGCATCCGACCCCTGCCAGTCTCACAGTGTCCCCATCATCCCCCTTAGCGCTGAGATTCGGGGTGACCAGGGTGCTAACCCCTCTCTGGCCTGGTCCCCGTTGCCTGAGTGTCTCTGGGTTCCCCAGAAGCAGAAGGTGCTGGGTCCTGAGGGCAGGTTTATTCCACGGGGCAGGACTGTGGGCCCGAGCCCCGGCCACCCGCCTCTGGGGCAGGAAGCAGCGTGGCTCGAGCCCCCACAGCCGCCACCGCGCTGCCAGGCTGGGCCAAAGGCTGGTCCCCTCCCGAGAGACGGGGCGCCTTCTCTCCTCGGACCTGACCCCGCGGCCCACGGCAGGGCCCTCACTGTTGTTACATTTTTTAAATTGATTTCAGAGAGGAAGGGAGAGGGAGAGGGAGAGAGAGAAGCATCCATGATGAGAGAGCATCATGGATCGGCTGCCTCCTGCACGCCCCACACTGGGGCTCGAGCCCGCAACCCGGGCCTGTGCCCCGACCGGGAATCGAACCCCGACCTCCTGGTTCATAGGTCGATGCTCAACCACTGAGCCACACCAGCCGGGCCTCCCTCACTCTTTCTCGTGGCCCCAGTGAGGGAAGGGGCCCTGCGTGGGCGCCAGGGCGGGAACCAGGCCCTGAGGCAGGGGGAGCAGGGTGGGGGGGCAGCTTGGGTTCCGTCCCTGCAGAGGCGCCTGCTGACCTGCCCTTGGTCCCCAGAACAACAACTACGACTGCCCCCTCCCCGAGGAGGAGACCAACCCCAAGGGCAGCAGCTGGCTGTACCACTCGGATGCCATCCGCACCTACCTGAACCTCATGGGCAAGAGCAAGAAGGACGCCACCCTGGAGGCCTGTGCGGGGGCCCTGCAGAACCTGACGGCCAGCAAGGGGCTGGTGAGGAGGCCCCCGCCCCCCCTGCCCCCCGGCCTCAGCCCCCTGCAGGCTGCTCCCTGCCTCTCCCCCCCCCCGCCCCCCATCCTGAGTCCCGTGCAGGAGAGGAAGGGCCAGGCCTCTCCTTGGGGTCCCCCACCCCCTCCTCCTCAGCCCTGGGGCCCCGGGAGCTCAGGCCGGGCCTCACTGGGTCCTCTGTTCAGATGTCCAGCGGCATGAGCCAGCTGATCGGCCTCAAGGAGAAAGGGCTGCCGCAGATCGCGCGCCTGCTGCAGTCGGGCAACTCGGACGTGGTGCGCTCCGGCGCCTCCCTGCTGAGCAACATGTCCCGCCACCCGGCGCTGCACCGAGCCATGGGTGAGCACCCGGCCCAGGCCCCCCCCACAGCCAGGCCCCCCCCGCCAGGCCCCCCCACAGCCAGGCCGCCCCCCCCGACAGCCAGGCCCCCCCCACAGCCCAGGACCCCGCACAGCCCAGGACCCCGCACAGCCCAGGCCCCCCCCCACAGCCAGGCCCCCCCCACAGCCAGGACCCCCCCCACAGCCCAGGACCCCGCACAGCCAGGCCCCCCCAGCCAGGCCGCCCCCCCCCCGACAGCCAGGCCCCCCCACAGCCAGGCCGTCCCCCCACAGCCAGGGCCCCCCCCCACAGCCAGGCCGCCCCCCACAGCCAGGGCCCCCCACAGCCAGGCCCCCCCCGACAGCCAGGCCGCCCCCCGCCCCCCACTCTCCTGGGCCACTGGAAGGTCACCTTCTACCCGCCTCCCGGGGCGAGCCTCCAGGAGGGACGCTTGGAGGTGGGAAGGAAGGGGCCGGTCACCTGGGGTGGACAGCAGGTGTGGGAGGCCCCACCCGGGTCCCCAGCCCCCCTCTCCCTTAGTCCCCTGACCACCTCCCCGCCTGCCCCCCTTCTCTCCAGGGAACCAAGTGTTCCCCGAGGTGACCCGGCTGCTGACCAGCCACACGGGCAACACCAGCAACTCAGAAGACATCCTGTCCTCGGCCTGCTACACCGTGCGGAACCTGATGGCTTCGCAGCCGCACGTGGCCAAGCAGTTCTTCTCCAGCAGCATGATCAACAACATCGTCAACCTGTGTCGCAGCAGGTGCGCAGGGGCCGCCGCCCCCCACCCCTCCCCCTGCCCCGCCCCGCCCCCCAGCCTTCCCGAGCTCAGGGTCCAGCAGCCGGGCCCCAGGGCAGCGCCTTCTCGGCCGGGGCCACCCGGGGACACTGTGTCCTCAGAGGGTCAGGCCAGCAGGAGGCAGGGGCTGGGCGGGAGCCTTCTTCATTTTTTTTTTCCCCCAAATATATTTTTATTGATTTCCGAGAGGAATGAGAGAGAATCATGGATCGGCTGCCTCCTGCACGCCCCCGACTGGGGTCGAGCCCGCCATCCGGGCCTGTGCCCCTGACCTGACGGGAATCGAACCGTGACCTCCTGGTTCACAGGTGGACGCTCCACCGCTGAGCCACGCCGGCCGGGCTGTGCGGGAGCTTTATTCTCTCCCCTCCCAGCACAAGGGCCGGGGTGGGGACCCGAACGGAGGGCCCTGGGGAGAACCGTGGGGGCAGCTCCAGGGGCAGGGGCGGGGGGTGGAGTGACAGCCGGATGCCGAGTGCAGCTCCTCTCTGGTGCTCCCCGGGGTGGGTCCCCCGTGTCTCCGAGACCCGGAGGTGAGGGTGGGAGGGAGGGGGCTGACCGCGTGTCCCCCGGAGCCTCGCCCACAACGCACTTCCCGCCTGCGCAGCGCCTCCCCCAAGGCTGCCGAGGCCGCTCGGCTGCTCCTGTCTGACATGTGGTCCAGCAAGGAACTGCAGAACATCCTCCGACAGGTAAGGCCGCCCCCCTGCGGGCCGGGCGCCCCGGAAGCCCTGGGTCCGATGGCTGATGTCCCAGTGACCTCAGGTCACCGCTGGCCAGGCTGGTGGGTGGGGAGGAAGTGGTGGCCAAGGGTGCACCTGCCACCGCAGTTTGGCTCGGAAAGAAGGGAGACGGAGGGTGTGGAATGACGCCTGTGTGACGACCGGGTCCGGCATCTCTGCAGAGACCAAGGGAGGGGGCGGAGCAGGGCGGGGAGGGGGTGTCTGGGGGGGCGGTGAGACGGGAGGATGGGGTCTCAGAGGCCCGAGAGCCTCCGGATGGGGCGGGAGAGGAGGCGGGCGAGCAGGCCTGCGGGGGCGCGGACGCGGGACCCACACGTTGCTGTCCCCCCTCTGCAGCAAGGCTTCGACAGGAACATGCTGGGAGCCTTAGGCGGGGCCAACAGCCTCCGGAACTTCACCTCCCGGTTCTGAGAGGGGCTGCCCGAGCAGGCTTGGCTTGCAGGTGAGGCTCAGCCCTGCCCCCGGGTCAGGGGGGCCCTGGGACCCCTGTGGCCTTGGCCAGTCTCAGGGCAAGGGGCCGGCCCCGAGCTCCCCGAGCATCCTCACCGGGGTGCCCCTGCCCTCACCGGGGTGCCCCTGCCCTCATGGGGGTGCCCCTGCCCTCACCGGGATGCCCCTGTCCTCATGGGGGTGCCCCTGCCCTCATGGGGTGCCCCTGCCCTCACTGGGATGCCCCTGCCCTCACCAGGGTGCCCCTGCCCTCACCGGGGTGCTCCTGCCTCATGGGGGTGCCCCTGCCCTCATGGGGGTGCCCCTGCCCTCACCGGGGTGCCCCTGCCCTTACCGGGGTGCCCCTGCCCTCACCGGGGTGCCCCTGCCCTCACCGGGGTGCCCCTGCCCTCACCGCCTGCCACGACCTCCTCCCTTTGCAGAAATGACACGACCCCACGGAGACCTCGGCCTGGCCGGAGGGTTGTTCTGCCCACCTGTGCAGTATTCGGAAAAGTTCAAGCAACCGAGAGCAAAACCTGAAAACTGTGGAAGATGGAGAGATTTTTAGATTCTTTTTTTTCCCCTTGGCAATGGGGGCTGGGGAGGGTGGGGGGGGGTGCCTTTCTTGAGTTAAGAGCTTTTTCCCATGTCCATACTTCCTTTGCTGAGAAATGGTATATATATATATGTATAACGTAAGTGTGTGTGCACGCGTGTGTGTGCATGGGTGCACGTGTGTGTGGGTGCGTGCACGTGTGTGTGTGTGTGTTGTGTGTGTGTGTGTGAGCCTATGGGCTTGGCCGTGAACCACAGGTGCTAGGCAGCTGTCGATGCAGCTCAAAGGCGGAGGAGGCTCTCCTGTGTCTTACCCTGTGCTTTGTGGGTGCCCCCGGGCTCCCCCCCAGGGCCCTGCAGGGGGACCGTCCCCCAGGGGCAGCCCTTCCCCCTCTGGAGGCAGCTTGGCAGGAAGGAGGGGGGCTGGGTGTTGAGGCCCGTGGGTCTCATGGGTCAGTCTGGGTGCCTGACAAGGCCACCGACCCGCAGAGCCACACCTGGTTCGCCCTGTGGGGTCCCTCCTAGGGGAGTGGGGCTCAGGGAGGGGGGATCCCGTGTCTGTGGGCTCAGCCTGTGAGTGTCATCCTAGTCTCCAGGGGCAGGCAAGGCACCAGCTGCTGGAGGAAGACGGAAACGCGGGGCTGGGAGCCACGGGCTGGCCAGGGAGTGACCGGCTGTTTGCCCTTCATCTGCCCTGTGGGGAGGGGCCGGACAGGGGCCATTTCAAACTCCCGGGAGGTGCCTGGGAGACTCAAGTGAGGGCGGGTGTGGGGTTTGGGACACACGGAGGAACGGCAAAATAGACCAGCAACGGGACTGTCCCATCAGGCCGCTGGCAAGCCCACGCCTTGGCCAGAGCCCCCCCGCCCCCATCTCCCAGCCGGCCGGCCTGACTCCACCCGAATGAGACAGAAGAGACCCCTCCGGGGGTCCGGCACCCCAAGACCCCACTTCAGGTGCATTTCAGATGGGAAACCGCAGGGCCTCCTGGGAAGAGCTGGCTGGACACAGGCCTCCGTGTGCTGTGGCCCGAGCGGACCTCAGGGGCCAGGGGGCCAGGGGCCCAGGTGTTCCTGCCCCAGCCCCCGCCTTGCTGGCCCCCTGTGGGGCCTCAGGCAGAAAGTCCCTGTGGCCCATGTCCTTCTCTGGGCCCTAGCCCGCGGAGCCTGGCGCGGAGGTGGGACGGCTGGGGTGGCAGCAGCCAGGCTGTGGGAGGGGCCGGGGGTGCTGGGAGCTGTCTGGCGCCCCGTCCCCTGCTCCGTGTTGGTGTGAGAGCTCCGTGCTGGCCTGGCCGGGCCCCGTTCGCCTGTGTGATACGCTATGTATTTGCTTTTTTGAAATCAATAAATTGCTGGCATTTCTGTGACCTTTCCAAGCAGTGTATTATTGGGGGGGGGGGCCTCTTACTGACCCCGAGCCAGGCAAGGACCGAGAGTGCCCCTGTAGGGATGGGGATGCCACCCCCCACACACCTGCTCCGTGTCCAGGGTCCACAGGTCCCCCCCGGGAGGCTGGTATCACCCCAACCTTCCAGATGAGGGAGCGGGGCCCAGGGAGGGGGCAGCATGCCCCCGTCACCCAGCCAGTGGCCGTGCAGGGCGCCCGCGGGAAAACAAGCTTCCAGGGTCGAAGGCACCCCAGTTCCTAAACGAGGACACGGGGACCCAGAGGCAGGAAGTGATCTGCCCAGTCCTGGCCGGGGTGGCTCCGTGGATGGAGCCTGGGCCTGTGGACTGGGCGGAAGGGTCCGGGTTCTATTCCCGGCCAGGCCGCCTGCCCAGGTTTCCCGGCTGGATCCCCAGTGGGGGGCGTGCAGGAGGCAGCCCGTCAGGAGTCTCTCTCATCATGGATGTTTCTCTCTCTCCCTCTCCCTTGCTCTCTGAAATCAATAAAAATTAAAAATATAAAGTTCTGCACGAGGCCCCGGGTTCAATCCCCAGCACCTCCACCAAAAAATAAATAAAATAAAAGTAAAAAGTGAAGTTCTAATATCTTTAAAGAAAGAAAAAACGCCAGCCAGCTCCCACTTTCCTGCAGCGAGAATTCTCAGCGGTCGCCCCGCCCCCGGTCTGGCCCCGCCCCCGGTCTGGCCCCGCCCCCGGTCTGGCCCCGCCCCTCGCGGCCCCTCTGCTCCCCGGGTTCCCGCACACCCTGCGCCGACCAGGCTCGGCATGTCCCGGACGTCCAGGAGGCGTCGCGCCCGTGGAAGCCCGTGTCCTGCCCGATCCCCGAGGCCGCGAACCTGTGCCTCCTCCCCGGCCCGTGGAGGCCGAGACCCGCCTGAAGGTGGGGCTCCCACGGGCTGTGCTGCGCGCAGGGGACTCGGGTGCAGAATCCCGGGGTCCTAAGTGGATCGGACCTGGGATGCTCGCGGCCTTCCTCCCTCTCACCAACCCGGTCCACTGACCCCGTGCAAGACCCGTCCCCCGCCAGGACCCGCCCCTGACCCCCCCAAGACCCGCCCCTGACCCCGTCCAAGACCCGCCCATCGACCCATGCAAGACCCGCCCCCACCCGTCCAAGACCCGCCCCTGACCCCGTCCAAGACCCGCCCATCGACCCATGCAAGACCCGCCCCCACCTGTCCAAGACCCGCCCCTGACCCCGTCCAAGACCCGCCCATCGACCCATGCAAGACCCGCCCCCACCCGTCCAAGACCCGCCCCCACCCCGTCCAAGACCCGCCCCCTGACCTCGTGCAGGACCCGCCCACTGCGGGGGATGCCCTGCTGTCAGCGAGTGCGGGGAAGGGGGCCGGGGTCTGTGGGTGAACAGGCAGGGGGTCCCGCCCCAAGAAGCACCCGGTCTGGCCCGCGAGAAGGTGAGAAGGAGGCCTGTGTTCATTAGCAAGTTGTTTTATTTTTTATTTTTTAAAAAATATATTTTTATTGATGTCAGAGAGGAAGGGAGAGGAAGAGAGAGAGAGAAACATCCATGATGAGAGATAATCATGGATGGACTGCCTCCTGCACGCCCCCTACTGGGGGATCGAGCCCACAACCTGGGGGCATGTGCCCTGATGGGGAATCGAACCCGGGACTCTGGAGGCCAAGGCTCTATCCACTGAGCCAAACCAGCGAGGGCTCAATGTCTTATAAGATGTGCTTTTCCTTGTTTCTACCAGATACCCATTTAACTTGGTAGAAAGTGCATCAAGCAAATTAAAAAACAAACAAACACGTAATCAGAACAATCAGGGCCCTACACTATGACCTCAGAGGTCACCTCCCCTCTCTTAGCCTTGGTTTACTTGTGTGTGAAATGGGTTGTATCTGCAAGGCCCTGACTCTGCTGTGGTTAGAGGATGTGTGTAAGGTACTCAGCGCAGCGCCGGGCGCACAGTAGGGCAAGGGCACACAGTAGGGCTACTTGGTGGCAGATATGGGGCCGGAGGGGTCCCCGTGTCAAGTTCAGGGGGGAAGAACTCCTCTTGTCCTTTACCCCCAGCAGCAACCAAGTGACCTCCTGCCTCGTGCGTCCCCGTGGCCGGCTCCTCTGGGAAGTTGGCAGGGGAGGGCTGGGTGGGGACGGGACAGGGGTGAGGCCGCTTGTACTCAGCAGGTCTCTCTGATCCCCATCAGTCAGAACGGCGTCAGCACAATCTCATCCCGGAGCCGCCCTGGGGACCGCACCACCTCCCACCGCCCTCCATCCAGGTTCCTGAAAAGCAGTCATAGAACTCCTCCCACCCCCCCACCCCCCCACCCCCCCCCCCCCCGCCTTCAGCTTTGCACTGCCCCGGCCTGATTTACCGGGGAAGCTGCTTTGGGATTAGGGTGTGGGGAAGGTGTGGCTGGTGTGGCCAGGGCCTGAGCGCAGGGCCACGGGCAGGGTGCCCAGGGGTGCCCGCCCCCGTGTGGAGACAGTCCTCTCAGTGGCCAGCAGTTTGCACCCCCACAGCTGCTGGGCTAGGGGCTGGGGGCCGGAACCCGGGAGGAGCCAGTGGACGGGGACAGGAGGGAGGGCAGGCTGGCGGGGCACTCAGACCTGGTTTCTAGATGTGTTGCCCGTGGAAGCCATGGACACTCAGGGGGCCCCCCAAAGACTTCTTGGGAGATCCAGGACTCGAGCAGCCCTCGGGGACGGGAGAGGTAGGATTCCAGGGAGGGGAGGAGGGGCGTTCTGGGTTAGGGAACAGCAGGGACACGGACTCCGTGGGCTGCCCTGTCCTCCAGCCAACCCCCACACACCCTGGGACAGGACACCCAGCCCCCTGCCCAGGGAGGGACCTGCCCCACCCTCTCCAGAAACCAGCTATGGAGTCAGGGGTGGGGCCGCCTGGGAGTGGATGCTGCCACCTCGGTCCTGCCCTGGCACCTACGGGGCAGCCACGGGCGGGGACTTGACTCTCTCCTCCTCACTCTCTGGACCCCTTTTCCTCTAGAGGCCTCAGTCGTGCCCCCCCAACCCCAGCCGACCAGGTGAGACAGGGAAAGTGACGGACGCCCTAGGGCCTAGCCGGTTTGGTTCAGTGGGCAGAGCGTCTGCCTGTGGATTGAAGCATCTAATTCGAGAGCACGTGATAGAGGCAACCAATCGATGTGTCTCTCTCACATCGATGTTTCTCTCTCTTCCATTCTCTCTACAAAATCAATGGGAAAATATCCTCAGGTGAGGACTACCAAAAACACACACGAATAAAATAAAATGAAAGAAAGAGACAGCAATGCCAGTGGGTGGGCGGTGGCTTTATTCCTGGCGTGGTGTGGGCATGTGGGTTGCAGCCGTGTGTGGCGGTGGCCAGCTGGGCCCTCCCCGTGTCCAGACAGAACCTGCTCCCCACCCGGCCCCGTGCCAGGAGGGCCCAGGAGCTGGGGGCCTGCAGGGCGGGCAGGACGCGGCCAGGAGCAGGTCTGGGCCTCACTTCCAGCGCCCCGTGACCTTGGCCTTCCCCCGGGTCTTGGAGCTGAGGGAGAAGCAGGGCCCAGTCGGAGGGGACACAGGCCGGGCAGGAGGCCTCCCCAGGGTGGGTGCTGAGGGTGGGAGGGGCAGCCTGGGTGGGCAGTGGCCAAGGGGGAGGGGACAGGGAGGCCCTGGAGGCCAGAGGAGGAGGCCTGGGCGCTGGAGGAGGCCACCAGGCCAAAGCCGAGAGGGAGGAGGGGAGGCAAGGGGAGGCCCCACCCAGAGACTCACACTTTCTGGTTGTCATTGATTCTGTTTCGGAGCACGTTGATCTGTAGGAGGCGGCGTGGGAAAGGCCGAGTCATGTGGGAGCTCATGTGGCTCACGACCCAGGTGACTGGGGTGTGGGGGGGGGGGGGGAGAAGGGGTCCCAGCCCAGCAGCAGGGTGGAGCCGCTCCAGCCAGGGGGGCCGGGCTGGGGAGGGGCGCGGCAGGCAGGGGCTCACTTCGTATTTCTGCTGCTTGAACTTCTCCTGCAGGTCGAACTTCTCAGCCTCCAGGTTGTAGATGCATTGCCACAGCTCCTTGGCCTTCTCCCTGCAGGGGGCGGGGGGTGGGGCAGAGTGGGGGTTGGGGGGCTGAGGACAACAAGGACGGGCCCCTCATCTGCCTTCACCTCATCCTGACCCCGTCCCCAGGGTCTCAGACTGGCTTCCCACCTACCCACCTGCCCACCTGCCCACCTGTCCACCCACCCACCCGCTCACCTGCTCACCCGCCCACCCGCCCACCAGCCCACCCGCCCACCTGCCCACCTGTCCACCAGCCCACCTGCCCACCTGCCCACCCGTCCACCCACCCACCCGCTCACCTGCTCACCCGCCCACCTGCCCACCCGTCCACCCACCCACCCGCCCACCTGCCCACCTGTCCACCCGTCCACCAGCCCACCAGCCCACCTGCCCACCTGCCCACCTGCCCACCCGTCCACCCGCCCACCGGGCTCAGCACGGGCCCCAGAGAGCAGGTACCCAGTGCTCAGGTCTGCGGCTGCCAAGACCAGGTCCTGAGGACACGGGGGGAAGGGAGAAGCCCTCTCTCCTTGTGGAGCATCTAGTTTGACCCCCTCCCCACCCCCTGAGCGCAGAGGGCAAGGTGCGCCCCGACAAGTGAGCTGCTGTTCCGCCCGCAAAGCCAGGCGAGGAGTCCGCTGCACCTGCTGCCGCCAGTCCCACCCAAGGCGCCCCGGGGAGAATGTGTGGGGCGGCAGCGACCCCTGGTGGCAGCGGCGAGCACGCGCCCTTGCCGCCGCCCTCGCGGTGCGCATGCGCGCGGCCCCAGCACCCGCCCCGGGCCCCGCCCACCTGAGTTGATCTTCATTCAGGTGGTCGATGGCCAGCACCTTCCTCCTCTCGGCCAGAATCTTCTTCTTCTTTTCCCGCTCCGTCTGCCTCTTCCCGCTTTTCCGCTCCGTCTGGAGGGGTGGCAAGCAGGGGACCGGGCGTTCGCTAGAGGGCACCCCCTCCCCCTTTTCCCCAGCCCACCCCACCCCCCCCAACCCCAACCCCAAACCCAGGGGGGACCAGTTACTCATCCTCTTCCCACAACACCCGGCCCATCGCTGCCCGGATCCGCGGGGAAACTGAGGCCCGTCTTCCTTGGCCGCCCACCCAGTCCCATCGCCATGACCCTCCCTCCAGGGAGCCCCCAAAACTAAGAGGAGGTTTGGTACCCACCTGCGCCTGCTAAACCAGGGAACCATGACAGACAGACCCAGAGAGAAAGGCGGAGAAGATGGGACAGAGACAGAGAGAGGGCAGGCAGGAGGCGGAGGACGGACGGACGGACGGACGGAGGACCAGGCAGAGAGAGAGACGGGGACAAGGAGAAGGTGACTCAGACGCGCCCCCTGGGGGCTACCTCGGTCACCAGGACGGAGGCGGGGGGTGGGGGGTGGGGGCAGGGCTGGTCTGAGAGCAGGGCAGCCAGAGTTTGGCCGCGTGGTCACTGCGGGGCCGAGCGGGGAGGCTGGCCTGGTTCTGAGCTGGGGACCGAGACAGTCCTGTTGGCCATTGCCCTCCTCCCATGAGGACGGGCGTGGGGCGTGGAGGGCAGGCATCGAGGGCGAGCTTCCAGGAATAAGCCACCTCCCCAGCGTGGACCCCCTTGACCTCCGAGCAGCGGGACACCATGTTAAGCCCATTTTACAGACGAGGAAACTGAGGCCCCACACAGCTGTCTCCAACCAGAGCCTCCAACTGGAGCTGAGTCTGGGCACAGGGCTCTGCCCGCTGTGTCCAGCCCGCGTGGTCTGGGGGGGGGGGGGCGGTGTGAGGGAGGAGAGGAGGCTCCTGGGAGGGGATGAGGAGGACAGAGAGGGGCAGCCAGATATCCCAGTCTCGCCCACAGCCCCGATCCCAGCAGGCCCCTCCCAGGGAAGCCACCACCTGAGGGGGCTGGAGGGCTGGAGGCTGCAGTCTCATCCACAGCAGCTGGGAAGTTCCCCCTGGACCCCTGGTCCCTCAGATCCCTCAGCCCCCAGGACCACCGCTGCCCCGCCCACCGCCGTGCTGCCACGCCCATCTTCTGGATGCCCCGCCCACCTCCCGGACGCCCTGCCTGCCTCCTGGATGCCCCGCCCACCGCCGTGCTGCCACGCCCATCTTCTGGATGCCCCGCCCACCTCCCGGATGCCCTGCCCGCCTCCTGGATGCCCCGCCCACCTTCTGGATGACCCGCCCACCTCCCGGATGCCCCGCCCACCTTCTGGATGTAGCCCCCGAAGTGCATCATGTTGGAAAGCGCCTTCTTCTTACGGGCCTCGTCCTCCGCGCGCCTGCGGTTCTCCTCCTCCTCCCGCCGGGCTCGCTCCTCCTGGTGCAGGGGGTGGGGGGCAGCCGTTAGGGGCGGGGCTGGACCTGGCCCGCGGGGGGTGGGAGAGCTTGGGTGGGTGGGTGGGTGGGTGAGTGAATGAATGAATGAGACCGACTCCTGCGCGGAGGCCCCATCGCTGGTGGGGGACGGGGGGCGGGGGGACGGGGCGGGGTGCCTCCCGGGCCGGGTCGCTCACCGCCAGGCGGTTCTGCCGCTCCTTCTCCCGCTCGCTCCGGATGCGCTGCTGCTCCGCCCGCTCCGCCCTGCGCTTCTCCTGGGGAGAGAGGCCCAGCCCGCCCCGTGTGCACGTGCGCGTGCGCGTGGGGAGGGGAGGCAGCACAGGAACCCACGGGACGTCCCCCTGAGCCTGGGTCCGGCCGGCCCAGGGACACCTGGCCAGGTGGGCAGCGCTCAGCCCAGTCCTGCCTCCATGCGGCCGGGCCCGCCCCCCACGTGCAGGTGACCCCGCCGAGGGGCACCCAGCGCGGGACCGGCCTGGATGATCTGAAACAGGACAGGTAGGGCTCTCTGTCTCCCCTGAGTGAGACCCCTCCCCGCCCTGGCCATGCTCTGTGCTCGGATGGACGGCCAGGCCCCGCTCCCAGCCACAGCAGCTGGTCCCTACGGAGAAAAAACAATCAGCCGGCCCGTGTGGCTCAGTGGTTGAGCCTCGGCCTAGGAACCAGGAGGAAGGGTTCGATTCCCAGTCGGGGGCACATGCCCGGGTTGCGGGCTCCATCCCCAGTGTGGGGCGTGCAGGAGGCAGCCGATCCGTTATTCTCTCTCATCATGGATGCTTCTCTCTCTCTCTTCCTCTCCTTTACTCTTAGAAATCAATAATAAAAAATTAAAAAATTTCACATACCCCCACTCCACAGTGATGTAATGGCAGGGGATCCCTGAGTCACCACATCTTCCCTCCCCTGGACAACAGGCACTGACCAGACCCCCCAAAGCCGGGCCCCTGGCTGCTCTCGGCTCCAGCCCCCAAGGAGTGAGTGTCCAGGCTGCTGGGGGATAGGATGGGGCCCCAGGAAGCCAGGGTGCGGGTTCCCTAAGGAAGAGTCCTCTCCCAGCAGGTGAGGGGCTTCCTGGAGGACTGCCTGGAGGAGGTGAGGCCTAGCTGGAGGGGTGCGCACAGGGAGGGGCCTCGGGAGCCCGGGTGGGAGGCGGGCACCTACGATCCTGTCTTTGAGCGAGACGAGCTCCTCCTCCTCCTTCTTCCTGTTCTCGAAGTGAGCCTCGATCAGCGTCTGCAGCTCGTTCAGGTCCTTCTCAATGCGCTTCCGGTGGATGTCCTGCCGGACAGGGCTCCAGGGTGGGCGGGCAGGCACACCGAGGCCGCTGGCAGGGCCTGGGGTCTGGGGCTTGGCCAGGAAAGGCACTGTGGCCCATGCCCAGAGCAATGCCCAGGGCAATGCCAGCCTGGCCTGGCTGGACCCCAGCCCATGCCGTCTTCTCTCAGCCCACAGGAGTCAGGGGGTCTCCCTCTCTCATGGGAGCCCCGCCCACCACCCCAGCTCAGGCCTGCCCTCCCCGCTGCCCCACTCACGTCGAAGTCCACCCTCTCTCCATCAGGGATCTTGGGCGGCACCAGGTTGGGCATGAAGGGCCTGTCAGGGAGAAGGAGGATCGGTGAGTGCCAAGCGCCCCCGTGGGAGGGGTTGGGTCCTGGGGCAGGCCTGCCCCGCCCCCCAAGCGCCCCCGTGGGAGGGGCTGGGTCCTGGGGCAGGCCGGCCCCGGCCACTGCAGAGTGTGGCCACCTGTGGGTCACAGCGGGCTCGGCACCCGGAGCACCCACGGCTCTCACAGGTCATTTCTCTCCGTCCTCTCTGTCCGGCGAATCCCAGGTGGGAGCCCTGTGGCTCCAAGAGGCAGTGACCGGCTCAGAGCCAGGCTCCAGGAAGTGGAGAAGAGGCGACGGGCTTACCTGACTCCAGGTCGCTGTGGGGGACCCCACAGACTTGCCCTGCGGTTTGGCCCCTGTGTCACACACACACACACACACACACACACACATGCTGTGATGAAAAGGCCCCGGGGGCCCTAGCCAGGTTGGCTCAGTGGATAGAGCGTCGACCCGTGGACTGAAGGGTCCGGGTTCGGTTCCGGTCAAGGGCACGTACCTTGGTTGCAGGTTCCCCGGCCCTGGTCGGGGTGCATGCAGGAGGCAACCCATCAATGTGTCTCTCTCACATCCATGTTTCTCTCTCTCTCACTCTCCCTTCCTCTCTCTCTAAAGATCAGTGGGGAATGTCCTCAGGCGAGGACTAACCAAAAAGTCCTGGGGGTCTAGTCCTCATTCTCCCCGTCGCCCACAGGTCTGCGTGGGGCTGTGGACACGCAGGCGGCCGGGGAGGGAATGTGCTGGACACAGCAGGACGGAGCTGGGGAGTTGGAGCCGGACCGGTCAGTCTGTCCCCCTGAGCCGGGAGGTGTCCCCGATGAGCGTGCCTGCCACCCCTGGCCCATGCCCACTGTGCCCCCCACCCCCCGCTGGCCCTCTGCTCCCGGGGCCTCCCACAGGCACGTCCTGCTCACCTGGGCTTGGGTTTGGACTCCCCGACGGGGCCATCTGCAGAGAGACGGGCACAGCCAGGGGTCAGGGGGCCCCGGATCCGGGCCCAGCTCTGTCCCGAGGGGGTGGGGACCGAGGGCCTCCGTTTCCCCGTCCCCTCCAGCCCGGGACTCCCAGTCCCAGGAGCATTGGGGAGAATGAAGGCCCTGTGGGCTGCAGACCCCACATGCCCTCTGGAGCCCCTGGGAGCGGGATTCTGAGTCCCTGCTGGCTGCCCCTCCCCCGGGGGCGTGGCTGCGACCACAGCAGTGACCACCACGTGGACGGCGAGGTCTTGGGGTTTCGCCCACGGACCCCGCACCCTGTGAGTGATTAGCCTGAGCTCCAGCACCTCGTGTGTGGCCGTGACAGCGGGGAGCCCTGCACACCGTGGGGACAGGACACTGGTCTCCCCCGTCCACCCCCCGCCCCCCCCAAGGCAGTGTCTCTGGATTGAGGGGCAGAGGGTGGAGCCCAGCAGCCCAAACCCGCATCGGCACCAAGTCTGTCCAGTCCCCTTGGGCCCTCCCCCCTCCCCCCTCCCTGGGATCTGCCTCCTTCAACGGGCAGGGTCCCCTCACCACCCCAAACCTCTCGCCTATGCCCAACCGCCCTCACCTTCAGCCTCTTTCACTCCCTCCTCTTGTCTGTCGTCTAAACAGAAGGAGAAACATCAACCAAGTTCCGGTTCTAAGCTCAGGGGCCCCCTGCCAAGAGCCCCCCACAGACAGGACATGACCCAGTGCGCCTGCTGAGTTCCAGGGTCATGGAGCTGTCTGTTCACACACATGCACACATGCGCGCACACACAGTCATGCATACTCACACATGCACGCATATATGCACACGCGGCTATACGTGCACAGCCACACATGTACACAACCTCCACACATGCACTCACGCATGCACACAGCCACACATATATGCACATACATCTGAGCACACGTGCACAGCCACATACACAGCCCACACACATACTTTCACATACATGTGCACACATGCACGCGCACATGCACACAGAGAGACATGTGCCCTGGGCCTGGCCTCCGCCCGACACAGAATGCGCTCGTGGTCCCGGCTCCTCCGTGGACAACTGACCGCTGAACCCCAGCCCAGATGGAGGCGCAGCCACACGGGCTGGACAGCACGTCTGGTGGGTCTTTCCGGCCACAGGAGTGGCTGCGGGCTCTGCCCCCACCCTGCGCCCTCCCCAGAGCCCCACCGTCCGCGTTGGTCTCGGCCTCCGCCTCGCCCTCAGCCTTCTCCTCCGCTGCCGCCTCCTCCGCTGCCGCCTCTTCCGCGACCTCTTCCTGCTCTGAAGCGACAGGCAAGCGATGGGCACGGTGAGCGCCAGGCCCCACCTGCTCCTGCAGCCCCGGACCCAAGGGGGGCGCGTGGGGGACCAGGAACCAGGAGCCGCAGGCTCGGACCCCGGTGTTTCCTTCAATAGCGCAGCCACTCATCAGGCCACGGCCCTGCTGCAGCCGAGTGGATGGCCCACAACCTGCAAAAGTCCCTCCCGCCTGTGCGCCGGGCAGAGGGCGGCCAAGGTCAGGGCGGCCAAGGTCAGGGTGGCCAAGGTCAGGGCTGACCCTGTGTAGGGGGAAGGGCTTCGCTCAGCTGAGAGGGGGGGACAGGGACAGGGACAGGGACAGGCTGCCCAGGAAATCTCGGCTCCTGGGGTTCCCCCTGCCCCCCTCCATCAGCCCAAGCCCCGTACCTTCCACGGCTTCCTCTGCTCGGACACGGTCACAGCCGCAAGAAAGGGGACAAGAGGCGGGTCAGTTTCAAACCAGGCGGCCTCCACCCGCCCGAATGAGGGTGCAGGTGTGCGCTTACCTTCCTGCTCCCTGCAGGGTGGAGGGACACAGTCAGGAATGTGTGCACGCACACACACTCTCACACACTCACACGCACACTCACACGCACACCCATCCTCCTGCTCCCAGGGCGGCTCCAAGGATAGGTGGAAGGGGCAGCACAGGGACAGGTGGGAGAGGGCAGGTGGGACAGGGACAGGGGGAGGGGACAGGGCGAGGGGACAGGATGTTCTGGCCCTCACCCCTCGTACTCCTCCACCTCTTCTGCGTCAGACATGGCCTCTCTCTCCCTCCGAAAGAGAAAGATGTCAGTGTGGGCCAAGCGGGGACCCGGCTTCCTCAGCTCAGCCCCCTCCTCGGTCCGGGGACCCGCCTGGCGGCCGTCACAGTGTCCACATCCTAAGGGTGACTTGCAGCATTGCTGCCCAGATGTTACCACCGGGGACCCTGCAAAGCCACCCTGCAGCAGCCTCGTTTCTCACAAATGCTTGTCCTCGGGATGACTGACTGTCCGAGAGGAGTCCCCAGGTCCGGTGAGGAGCCTGTGGCCCACAGCACTGCCCGCACCCAGGGGAGCAGCCGGACCGGTGGCTTAGAGCTGGGGAGGCTGCTGGGCGGAGTTGGTCCCCTTAGGGAGGGGGTTGTGCACGGCCAGCCTGGAGCACGGGATCTCAGCTCCTCTCTCCTCTCCTGCCCCACCTCCCACCTGCTTGGAGCCACTGGCCCTAGGGTGCAGAGGAGGAGGGAGCCCCACCCGGCTCCCCAAAATAGCATGCCAGCCCCCAGAAGGTGGAGGAGGGCTCTCAGACCAGGCCCGTTGGCCCCAGGCCAGACTGAAGAAGAGGTTGGGGCAGGCTGAGCTGGGGGCTCCAGCTTGGGAGGCAATCAAAACCCTGCCCCCCCCCCCCCCCCCCAGCAGGTGTGATAATATCCCAAAACAGCTTCTCCTCCCACCTGCCCCCTCTCCCCACCTGCTCCCACAGCCCAGAGATCAGGGTCCACTGGCCGTGAGGTCCAAATGCGGGTTTTGAAAACCGGGTGTTTGCTGTGTGACCTTAGTTCAGCCCCTTAACCTCTCTGGGCCTCCGTCGACCCATCTGTGAAACGGATGAGCTTCCAGTTCTAATCCCGCAGAACGGCTGAGCTTCTGAGGAATGTAGCCCTTGTCCCCGCCGCAGCTGGGACATCCCTCCCTGCAGCTGTCAGCCCCCAGGGGAGCCAGGGGACAGGGCATGGGCGGGGGGAGCTGGGGGCGGAAGGGAGGGGCAGGGGGCAACTTGATCCCTGCAAATGCCCCTTCTCCCCAGAGGATGCGTCAGAGGAGGGACTCCCTGGGCCTGGAATGTGGTTGAAATTCCTGACCCTCCTGGCAGCCCTTCCCCCAAATATTTCCTCTGCCAGCCGGAGCAGGAGGAGCTGAAAAATCAAGGGGATATTTCTCTGTGGGCGCTTTGGGGGGACGAGGGGAGCGAGACTTGGGGGTGACCCTCTAACCACGAGCTGGGCTCACACCCCGTGAAATGACCTCCCAGCTGGGCTCTCCGGAGCCTGGCCCCTCGTGGAGGGAACACGGAGCTCCGTCCACTCCCACGGTCCCCAGAGCGGACGCAGGCAGAGCCGGACGGAGCGGCCAGGATGCGGGCCCGTGCCCTCCACGCTTCCCCCACCTCAGCGCCTCCCCCCGCCGTCTTACCTCCTCACAGGAGCTGAATGAGGTGCCTACTCAGCCGGGCAGGGACTGGGCGAGGGCAGGGCGGGCAGGGCTTTAAGCAGCGGGGGTGTGGGGGGGCTGGGCCTCCAGAGCCAAGCCCCACGGTGAGGAATGTGCGGGGAGGGGGGCCGGGGGTGTTGGGGGCTCTGCTGGCAGGTGCCGGGACAGGCTGACGGCCGTGTGCTCAGCACCATATAAGCCCATGTGATGGTCCAGCTGCAGATACGCTATTTAAAACCGGGACAGAGCTGCAGGGGACAGAAGCCAGCTGTCCCTCCTGACAACCTGATAGAGCCGGTGCCAGAGGCCGGGGGCCGGTGGGGGCAGGGCTGGGAGCAGGAGGCCACCCCCACCACACTCCTGAGTGCCCCTGGGCCACGGCGACCTCGAGGCCACGGGCTGTGGCCCCGTGTGGACATCTGTCTGCAAAGCGGGTCTCCATGGCCCCAAGCCCCCGGGCAGGGACCTACAGGAGGTCAGACGGGGAGAACGGACTTGGAGGAGCGGGTGATGGCTCCGGGACAGGCGGCTGGCTGAGTGGGGACCGTAGCTCACCCTCTAGGGCAGCGGTTCTCAACCTGTGGGTCGTGACCCCTTTGGCGGTCGAACGACCCTTTCACAGGGGTCGCCTAAGACCATCCTGCAGATCAGATATTTACATGACGATTCATCACAGTAGCAACATGACAGTGATGAAGTCGCCACGAAAATAACTGTACGGTTGGGTCACAACGTGAGGAGCTGTATTGAAAGGGCCAGGAGGTTGAGAACCACTGCTCTAGGGTTTTAAAATGAAGCTGCCGGCCGTGTAGCTCAAGAGGTCAGGGTTCGATTCACAGTCAGGGCACAGGCCCGGGTTGTGGGCTGGATCCCCAGGGTGGGTGGGGTGTGCAGGAGGCAGCCGGTCCATGACACGCTCTCATTATTGATGTCTCTCCCTCTCCCTTCCTCCCTGGAATCAGTAAACATCTATTTTAAAATAATAAATAAAATGAAACTGTGATCTGCTGAACCTGCTGGACGCTGAGACCCAGGGCCTCTGCCGTCTGCTGGTGGCGTCTGTCGCAGCCCAAGCACAGTGCCGGGGGGGCCGGGGGGAGGGGGGGGACCAGGGCCCCCTGCGCCACCAGAACGAGCGGCTGGAGGAAACGTCTCCCGGCAGCCGAGCCGGCTCTCCCCTGGGCCTCGGACTCCTGGAGCCCCCGTCCCAACTCCGAAGCAGGGCCCTCGTCCGGACCAGGCTCCTCCTCCCGGTGCCCCGAGCCCTGACCCCTCAGCCCCCAGATCTTTTTTAAAAATATTTTTATTGAATAAACTAGTAGGTTGGTTTGGCCGAGGTTCTCAGATGGCTCAGTACCTCCAAGCTTCCAGGGGCCGCGATGCTGGGGGATTGGAAGTTGGGAGGGTGTGTTTGAGGGGGGCGGGCCGTTCCGCCCCCCAGAATCACGACGTAGGACAACAGGATGTAACCCACCTTCGTGTGAGGAAAAGAGGGGGTGCTAGGAAAACGATGATGGACGCCCCCCCCCAGCCAAAATAATCCACACACACCCTCTGCACACACACCCCCCCACACACACACACACACATGCACCCCATGCAGATGCCGCCGTAAGAAAGCAGAGCCCCCAGGGCGGGTCGATGGCTGGAAGGCACTCAGTCACTGACCCTGAGAGTGAACGAGTTTATCAATCTTTCCTGAGAACAAGGGGGGGGGGGGTGGGCACAGAGAGGCCTGAGCTCTGCAGGGGTGAGGGCGGGCAAGGCGGGCGGGAGCACAAGGAAGGCCCAGCAGCTGGGACTCAGCCAAGGGGGGGGGGGGCCAGGGGAGGTGGGGAGACCCCTGCCGGGGCGGACGGGACAGGTGGCCCTGGCAGGAGCTGGAGACGGACACGCGTGTGGACGGGACTCAGGCCAGGGCACTGGCGAGAGCCCGCGGTGTCGGGCTGACTTGGGTCGGGGCGCTGCTGTGCCCGCAGGGGGACAAGACGGAGCTTGGGCACACCTGCCCCGGGGCTGCCCGGGAAGGAGCTGCCGGAGCCCGGACGTGCCACCTGCCGGGCCCAGGTCCAGAGGCAGAAAAGGGTCGGCCACGGGGGAGGGGAGGGCGCGGCTGGGGAGGCAGGGCCTGGCGTGAGGGAGGCGGGACTTGCAGCTGCCTGGAGGCCTCACACCTGCGGGACAGAGAGCTGTCAGACCAGACCCACAGACGAGGGGAGGGTCCTGGGCTGGGAGGGGGGGGGGGGTCTGCACAGGAAGGCAGCCCTCTGCCCAAGCCCCTCCCCCCCATCCCCGCACCCACACCCACACCCACCCACACCCACACCCACCTCCCCCCCCCGGCCCAGCCCCCTAGTCTGTGGGGCTGAAGGGGCGCAGCTCGCAGGGCTAAGGGGGTGCAGCCAGCTGGGCCTGGACCAGGGCTCGAGGTTGGGGCACCCCAGCCTGACAGCAGGACCAGGGCATTCTGGGTACTCGGACTGGGCGACTGCAGGCCAGTTCATGGGTGCGGGCGCAGGGCGGACACGGGGCGGGCGTGGGGCAGGTGTGGGGCGCCCCCTCCGCTGCCCTCACCTCGGCATCCAGGGTGGAGCCCGCTCTCTTCGCCAACTGGGTCCGCTTGGTGGCTGCCGCCTCTTTCTTCGCCTCCTGGTTGGGGGCATCGGGGAGGGGTCCAGGGACTAAGGGGCCTGCGGGGGGCTCGGGGCCTCAGCCCTTCCCTCTTCCAGCCCCGCCCCTTCTCTCTACTGCCCCCCGACCCACAGGCCTCTGCCCAGCCCTCCCCAGCCCCACCGTCCACTCCTGGGAAACCCCCTTCATGCCCGGGGCCCCCCTGATGCCCGTCTTTCCACCACCCAAGGGCCCATGGTCAGGGGCCAAGCAGACCCGGTACCTGGGGGTCCTGCTCCCCCGACTCCTGGGTCCGGCTGATCCACAGGTTGAGCCGCGAGGTCACCACCCCCGAGAGCTTCAGATTCTCCTGAAAGAGGGGCTCCGTCAGGGCGGGGGAGGAGGGCCGGGGGCACAGGACAGAGCCCCCCACGTCCCCTGCAGCGCCCCGTAGACCTGAGGGCCCCTGCCCCACCCCCACCCCCACCCCCACCCACCGGGAGCCGCGGGGACCTGGGCTCAGGCTCAGGACCCAAAGGGTGCCTCAGGTCAACGGCAGCTTCGGCCCAAATGGACACATGCAGCCCGGCCCGTGGCTCAGTGGTGAGCGTCGACCTAGGACCCAGGAGGTCAGGGTTCGATTCCCGGTCGGGGCCCAGGCCCGGGTTGTGGGCTCCATCCCCAGTGTGGGGCGTGCAGGAGGCAGCCGGTCCCTGATCCTCTCTCATCATGGATGTTCCTCTCTCTCTCTCCCTCTCCCTTCCTCTCTGAAATCAATAGAAACATTTGTTTAAATGGACATTTGGAAACACGGCGTTTGGACCAGTGCCCGGCCCAAGGCCGTGGGTGTGGGGACCTCAGGCTTCCGGGTCCGTGCCCCTCACCTTGCGGCTGGAGGCCGGCTCTGCTCGGCTGGGGCCCTGGCCCGCCAGCTCCTTCTCGAAGAGGTGACGCCTGCTGGCCACCCCCACGGGCGCCACGAAGACCTCGGTGCGGGAGGAGCCGGGGGACTTGACGGACACTGACCTCTGGGGAGAGAAAGCACAGGCTGACCCAGGAGGCGGCGGGAGGCCAGGGGGCACCCCACACCCTCACCCCCTCACCCGCGGGGTCCCCCGCCCCTCCCCGCCCCACCCACCTGGATGGCCGTGTGGTATCTCTCCAGCTTCTCGCCTAACTTGACCGGGAGCCTCACGCTGGCACTGCCGGGCAGAAGGACAGGATGAGACCGACCAGTGAGGCCCTGCCCCCTGAGACCAGGTGTGCACCCCTCCGTCCAATGGCCCCCCGTCCCCTCCCTCTGCACCCCCTGCCCGGTCCTGTCACTTCTACCCAAACACGTCCGTCCCGGACCCTCCTCGCCATCTGCCCCACCCCTGCGGTCCCCTCCACACGCCCACCCCCAGCTGACCCCTGACCCCGCACACGAATCCCACCCTGTCCTTCCACTGCAACCCTCAGGCCCCAGGACAGAGACCAAACTGCAGGCCTGGTCCCTGTCCCCCCCACCGGACCAGTGCCCCGAAACCCCCCTCTTCACCTGCTTGTGTACCCCGAACCAGACGTGGTAGGCTCGCCACACTCAGCCTTCCCACTGGCTCCCCCTGCCCCCCAGTTAAGAGGCACCACCCCACTTCCCGTCTGGAAATCTTCAGTTCCACCCAGAGTCAGCTGCTGCCCTCGGCACATTCCCCGGCCCCCGCAGGCCGACACCTCCCGCTGGGCGAGGCTCGGGGTTTAACTGCCTGATGTGAGTCACTTGAGGGCAGCACCTGCCTCGTGTCCATCTCTGTACCCCAGGCCCCCCGACCCCGAGGGCCTAGGGTGGCAGGTCTCAGCGAGGGTCCCGTGTGTGAGCTGTGAGCCCCTGAAGTCCCTACCGCTCCAGACCCCTGCTTTTCAGATCTGATTTCCGGGGGGTTTTCAACACACAGTCCTCACACTGTTCCCACCGACATTTGGGGGCACAGGGTGCTCATTAAACACCCGGCTGGCACAGCTCAGCTGTTGAGCATCAACCCGGGAACCAAGAGGTCACCGGTTCGATTCCCGGTCGGGCACATGCCCGGGTTGTGGGATTGATCCCCAGTGGGGGGCCTGCAGGAGGCAGCCAATCGGGGATATTTCGCTCTCGTTGATGTTTCTATCTCTCTATCCCTCTCCCTTCCTCTCCCTCTAAACCAAACATGTCAAACTCAAGGCTTGCGGGCCACATGGGGCCCACAATGAATATTGTTGCGGCCCAGCCAATATAACGGTGCATAAGCAACGTTTTAATAAAGATTTCGTAGCTTCATTTTTACAATCGCCTGTTATACATCATTATTCATAACGAACCACAACGTTCGCCAATGACTGATGACTGTCATCGTCTTGCATTCGTTTCCCTGACGCGCAGGCCCACCATTTCTCTCCACGGATACCAGCGGCG